GTTTTCTTTCAAATTTCAAACTCATATTATTGCAAAATAAAAACAATAATAATAAAAAAATTGCTTATAAGCCCATTAGTATTTGTATATTTTGAGGAACAGAAAATCATTTCATCAAAAAAAAAAAAAAAAGGTTGGTTTCAATCGTTTTCTTCAAATTTCAAAACTCATCATTATTGCAATAAACAATAATAATAAAATTGGCTTAAGCCCATTAGTTATTTGTATATTTTTGAGGAACAGAAAATCATTTCATCAAAAAAAAAAAAAAAAGGGACTAAAAAAAAAAAAAAAAAAGGGACTATCAAGATGATGGGTCCAAACAATATTCAATATTCAATATTCAATATTCAATATTATCCCCTAACATTAAATTTTAATCCTAAAATTCCAAATATTTTTCGAATGACTATCCAAATTGTAGGCTAAGGGCTATACCCATTTTTAATTGATGTAGGGCTTTGATTTTGTGTAGCAAAGGAGCACCACAAGTTTTGAAGACTTGGAGTTAAGAGGCCTAGAAATATATGCGTGTGATAAAAGTAATGAATACTTGGGCTATTATTTGTTGAATTTCAAATTTCATTGATAATCATATGACAAAAAGAATATATTTTTATTTGGTTCTTAAGATTTGATCTCATTATTATCTCTGGTTAAAGGGATCCTTGTCACCCTTTGCTGCATTTGGTTTCGAGTTTTGTCTACTTCCATTTAAGCATGTGCCCACTTCATTGAACTTCACGAAACCGGCAGATCATAAATTTTAAAATATTGAATTTGAATTGACACTTAAACCACCAGTTTTAATTTCGGACAATATTGGGATAGTTGCAATGAATCAACGATTTCGATCACTGTTTCCGGTGATATTTATATTTTTTTTTTAAAAAAAAAATCTGTTCTAAAGTTACTTCTTTTTTCGAAAAAATTAATATAAATTCAAAAAACAGTGGTAAATTAAATTTTATTTTAAATAACTCTCCGAATGCTCATGCTCATATATTTGAAATAAAATTAATTAATTTTACAAAATAATCAATAAATTATCATTTTATTTTGTTTAAATGTTATGAATTAAATAAATTATTAGAAAATTTGAAAATGCTTCAAACAAAGTAATTTTGAACTAAGTAAAAAATTTAAAAGGAAAAAAAAAAAAACATTGAACTCTTATTTGTATATTACAATATAATCTTAGAGTAAATATTTCACTTTTTTAGATTTTAACTTTTTAAGTAAAGTGTTTTTCAAAAAAAAAAAAAATCAAATAAAGTATATCATGTAGTAAAAGTTTGTTTAGACTTTTAGAGGTATATAATATAAAATAGGCCAAATGATTATAACTTTGAAAATAAAATAAAATAAAAAGTTTCTTATTCCAACCGAAACCGCGGTTCAAATTCAGATTTTAATATTCACATGAATTTTAAATGACTCTTGAACCACTGGTTTCAACTTAAAATCTGAAGCCGATGATTTTGATCCGATTTTGATTCATTTATTATACGATTCAGTTCCGATTCAAATTGAACCGGTGGTCAAATGCCTACTTCCATTTGTAATTCTCAGCCCTTTCTTAATCTGAAAAGTGAAAAGTGGGCGGGCTATCTTTGGACTTTTGGGCTTATAAATAAAATTTAGCCCATGACTGATGGACATATAATTATATTATCGTTAATTTCTTTACAAAAAAATAGATACTTTATTTTCAGATTTTGTTAAATTTGATGCTTTTTGTCCTATTAGCTACCATAGAAACAAAACAACCTATTTTTCTTATCACTATTATATCCTTTCCTTTTCACCTATTTTTAGCCTTGACTGATTTTATTTTATTTTATTCTGAAAAAAGCATTAAACAACAAAAGTAATATTGACAAAAATGAATTCTGCCAAATTCAAATATTAAATGTACTCAGGATGCAAATTCCATTCCTCATTTTTTTAATGACTGCTTTAGGAACTATTACAAATAATATTTTCAAATATATTATATTGATTCATGAACTTAAAAGTATACTCTTAAAATTTATCCAAAATAAATCTTAATATTAAAGCGTGTAAATAGATTTATTAACCTTAACTATCAAAAAAAAATTTAATATATGTTTTTACAAAAGATTTAATTATAAAGCAATGCATCATAAAAATTATATTTAATTATGTTTAATTAACTAATTAAGTGAATTAGTTACAAAAAATTTTATGTTTATAAAAATTATATTTAGCTATATTTAATTTAATTTGAGGTAAATTTTTTTGACCTTATTTAATTAAAGGTGTTAATTATTTTTATATAAAAGTGTTAGTAAATGATTGAATTAGAGTTTCGATTTTAAAGTGAAATCATAAATTCCATGATATGCTTTTAATTAAATTGAATAAATTAACTCAATATAATATATAAAAGCTAACATGTAAAATCATCTTTATTATTATTATTTGGGCCATCAAATTCATGGTCGGTGGATAAATATTCTATCTGTCTGGCAATAGTTCACTGCTTCTTCTTCCTTTCTACCATTAAACTGGCATTCCAACAATTGCTACCATGAATTAAGTTCACAATCAGTTCAAATAAAATAAAATAAAATAAGTTCACAAAACATATAATATCAAATCAAGTTATTCTGATTCTCAAAAAAAAAAAAAAAAAAAAAAAATCAAGTTATCTGATCTCAAAAAAAAAAAAAAAAAAAAAAAAATAATGCAAGCTTACTCTAGTAATAGCTGTTTACAAACAATTAATAATGTCTCCGAAGGACAGTTCCAAAACCATGCATACTTGCGGATTTAGCCTTCAGTTTGATTCATCAAAAAAAAAAAAAAAAAAAAAAAAATAATGCAAGTTACTCTAGTAATAGCTGTTTTTACAAACAATTAATAATGTCTCCGAAGGAAGTTCCAAAACCATGCATACTTGCGGATTTAGGCCTCAGTTTGATTCATCAGTTCATACCACCTATTCAGTACAACAATTCATACTAGCTGATAGCTAATACCAATTATTGATAGCTGGTGACTGATGGTCGATAGCAATTAGCTGATTATTGTTTGTATTTGAAATAGAGAGATATCGAACGTGTTCAGCGATAGCGTTTAGCGTTTTGAACTAGTCAAAATACTATTTCTTTAAATTATTGTGTTCGTTAACTTGTTTAGCGTTTTGAATTAGTTAAAACACTATTTTTCTAAATTATTGTGTTCAGTAACTTAATATGTAGACTAACTTTGAAAGATCTACGGAGTGTTTTCTGAAATGTTATAGCGTTTCACTCTTTTTACTAATTTATTTTTATAATCTTATCCTTATCCTTAATTAATATAAAATTCTTATGTTATCACATTACCTATTTTATTATCTTTATATTTCACTTATTTATATTTGATAGTAAAAAAAAATATTATTCATATATTTGTATTTAAACTCAATCAAAAATTAAAAATTAAAATGTTGATCCCCTAAAATATTAAAAATTTTCCAATTTATTCATAAAATAATGAACTTTTCAATTTTTGCTCTCTTAAATTTTAAAAATTTAGATACGGTGAAATCATTTTTTTATAATGAATCTAATTGAAAATTCTAGGTGAATATTTCAATGTTCTTTTTTGTCACTTTAAATTAATTATCAATCAAACAACTGTTTTTATTGAACATTTTCGCTTTCAACCACTATTTAAACATCTATCAGCTAACAGTTACTAAAACAGCTAATAACTATTAAAACAATTAGCAGCTACTAAAATAATTAGTATTGCCGAACAGACCCATCATGGGAAAAATTAATAGTAAGAAATTGAAAAAAGAATTGTTGCTATTTGTAAAAAGTCATTTCAATATATTTATATATATTGCAATTGAAACAAAATTTTAGCCTCCTCACTAAAGGTTTGCCAATTATAAAATTAAATAAGTTTCAAAATAAATAATACTTTTTTTTGTCTCATAATTTGTATTATGGTTTGACATTCCATATAAATTAAGAAAATTTAGTTAATTTAACTAATCTGTAATTTTCGCTTCATTTTTTTAATATATATAATATCTATAAAAATTAAATGATTCATATTAAATTATTTTTTAAATTAAACAAACTAAATTAAATATTTAATTAAATAAAGTTTTATTGAAAGATTAAAGATTGACATGTTAATTTTGTTTATATCTAGATCAAAATTTGATTAATGACAATATAATAGTTTGACCATTGTATTTATTGAAAAAAAAACATGTTAAATAAAGATAAATAATAAATTTAAAATATTATTCACTTCTAAAAAAGGAAATAAGACAACAATTTAGGATAAATAAATTATAGGAAGTGGAAGTAACAAAAACAATTATATAAAACATTAATTTGCAAATGTTAATGTGGCCTCATAATTAATAAAAAAAAAAAAATTAAGATAACATAAAACAGAATCCACAAAACATTATGTAAAAGTAAAACATCTTTGCTTTCAGGCCAACTGCGACTAGCTTCGTAGTGTCTGCCTATTGCTAACAGAAAAAGTACGCAATGGTTCGGAAGAATCCACCTCTCCGAGATGAAAGCAGAAAACTTTACATCACCAACAAGAATTTATGAATTTTTTTTTAATTTCTATATGTAAAATTTTAATTTGATGTGAAATTAGAATAACTTCTTGAATGATAATATTCACATTTCTTAATTATCAATGAGGGTTAGCTGATTTAATATTATAAAATAAAAATTTCAATAACATGATTTTACAAATTAAAGTGTATTATAAATGTAATTTTATAAATTAAAATGTTTAAACGATTAGAATACAATGAATAAAGTATCAATAATTTTTTTCATTTTATAAAAGTATAGATGAATTTATGCATTTTGCTTAAAAAATAAAAATTATATCCAGTTGTTATGATATATAAGATATCATAAATTAAAACATTTTATATGTTGAAAATTACAAAACAAAAATTTACTAATGATAATTAATTAAAAAGTAGCAAGACAAAAATGCAGGAGAAGAAGAAGAAGAAGGTGAAGAAAGCGGCTTTAAGCAGCCTCGTCTCTTGACTTATTACAGTTGAAAACAGAATCATAAAACCCTGAAACACCTCTATCTTTTATAGTAGTAATTAAGCTAGTGGAAAGGAAAAAAGGAAAAGAGCAAGAAGAAGAAGCATAGATAAGATGGATCCACCATGAGCATGACCACCTTACATTTACTCTCTTTTTCCTGATTAAAGCAAAAGCTTTCTTTTTTAACCTCACTAAACTTTATCAAATCAACCAATCCAATATATTATTCTTGGCCAATCCCCATATTATATATATAAAAACACCTCCGAATCTACAAGCAAAGTAGAACCCATTTTTCTTTTCTTTTTCTTACTCTGCCTTGCGAACGGTTTCACGCTCCCCTTTTTATAATTCCTTTGCAATCTAAACATAATGTTCCTTTCTTCTTTCTCTTATTTTATGGGGGTTTTCTTTTGTCTTCACTCCTTAAAATGGAATTCCTAAAAGGTAGTCTATTGAAATTTAATTATTTAATTAATTAATGTAACAGCTGACAACAATAAAAGGAAAAACCAGATGAATGCGTTATGCTTGTTTACAATGTTGAATTTGGTATTAATTTAGTGATAAGGAAGGGATTATGAAGATTCTCTCTAGTGGGTTTTACATATACTTTCATTTCCTTATTTGGGTTAATCTACTTCGCTGTCCAGATGGATTCTATATTTTTGGCTTAATTCATGTTGTAGACGCCTGCATTCTTCATGGAATTCGTTTTTAGCAAATGGGTATTGGCAGTTTCACTAACTTTTTGGGCTATTTCATACGGAGCATACTCAGGTGAGAGAATTTTGCCATTGCCTTGGATTCTTCAGATTTCCTTAACTTTCCTTTTTTTTTTTTTTTGGAAACTGTTTTAAATATTTTGCATTCCTTGATTCAAGTGGAGGGACTAAGAGGAGGTTCTAAAGTCAGAGGAGTAAATTTAGGAGGTTGGCTGGTTGTCGAAGGTTGGATTAAACCTTCATTGTTTGATGGCATTCCGAATGGAGATATGCTTGTGAGTCTCCTGCTTTCCAGTTTCTTTGTTCCTTAATGTTCTTTTCTTTTATTTCTTTTTGTAAATGATCAGGTGGGTTGATCCCTCTGCAAACTTCAAAATGTAGGATGGAACAGAAGTTCAATTCAAGTCATTGACAATGCAGAAGTATATGTCTGCAGAGAATGGGGGTGGAATGGGTGTTACTGTGGATAGAGATGCTGCTTCTTCATGGGAAACCTTTAGGGTAAGAATTAAGATGCTTGATAAAAAAATTTTCCTTTAATTTCCCATAATTTAGTATATGCCATTTCTTTGATGCTGTAGTTGCAACAATAGCAATGTAACAGACATTTTTCTGGTTCTTTCTAAGTGATCAAACATGCTTAGCTCTTTGTAGCCATAAGAATGAAGAATATTTGGTTATTTGATTCAGAGGATTAGTTGAAGAGTTAAATTATGTTCTTTTAATTTTTTGTTTTTTTTGGTGATATATAGTTGACAATGGACGTACATCTCTTTCTCCCTCTCCTTCAAATAATTAATTCAACTGGAAATGGTACAAATTAAATGGAGGGCTGTTTCCTGGCACTGTAAAAGTTACATGTTTGGCAATTGGGATCTTAGGCTTTTGAGGTTCTTAGTAATAGCAGTATCACGTTGGTTGGTTTTTGTTTCTTGTCTGTTGTCACTCTTGTTTATCTAATTTAAGTTCATATCTGATGTTAAGTCTGGGGATCAAGCATTGATGCTGTTGGAGTATTGAGTGATCTAATTATGCAGACAAGTTATCCTACTGGTTCCTTTTCCTGCAGTTATGGAGAGTCTCTGCATCAGAATTCCAGCTCCGTACCTCTCAAGGCCAGTTTCTAGCATGTGATGGTGTGGCTTGCTCTATCTCTGCAACAGCAAACTCATCTTCAGCAGGGAAAACATTTTATATTGAGAGAAATAGCAACAACAGAGTGCACATAAAACTTGCTAGTGGAGCCTACTTACAGGTAAGATGTCTGATATTTGCTTTTGATTCAGTTAAAACTGAAAATAGATATAATCATTTCAACAGGAATTAAAAGCTTCATCCAGTTTTCATCTCTGATGGAACCTTTTTTTTTTTTTTTTAATATTTGGGTTTTTTTTTGTCGGGTTAGGGCAAGAGAAGGGGGGGTTGGGGGTAGGTTAGTTTTGATGGTGGAAAAGTTGCATATATAACCATAACATGCCCAAAAAACCAGCTCAGTGGTTTCCACATTGCCAATGGTAAATCCTCAAGGGAAGTAAGGGACCACCCAGTTTCCAGATTTCATTCAAGATTGCTGATGTTTAATTTGCCTTCTAATGTGACCATAAATATTTAGTAATATTGCATGATAGCATATAATCTATTTTTTAGGCTACAACAGGAAATCAGCTCACAGCAGATTATTCAGGGAAACCAGGATGGGAGGATAATGCAGCCACATTTGAAATGACTATTGTAGCAAATAACTTGCATGGAGATTTCCAGCTAGCAAATGGCTATGGATATAGTAAGGCAAAAGAGGTTCTTAAGGTAAAGAATCTTTTGTATTTCACTATGTTTTGCAATATGCTTTTCTTTGGTTGATGGTGCGATTATATATTCAACCAAAAAGTTTATACTTGCAAGCTAATTAAATTTATAAAGTGAATCTTGAATCATGATAATATTGATAAAGTATTTGACCAAATGAGACAAGCATATAACTTAATCAGGTTCAGCTTTTTGTTTATTGTGTATCTCTGCCATTTTGGACTGCAGAAACACAGAAATAGTTTTATTACAATGGAAGATTTCAAGTTTTTGTATAGGCATGGGATAAATGCTGTGAGGATCCCTGTTGGTTGGTGGATTGCTTTTGATCCTGACCCTCCAGCTCCATTTATAGGAGGATCCTTGGAAGCTCTAGATAATGCATTCTCATGGGCACAGTAGGTCCTATTCTCCCTTGTTTCTATTTGTTCTATTACGACTTTATATTTCCTTCAATTTGTATCTGAAAACTGTGATGCAGAGCCTATGGTATAAAATGCATCATTGACCTACATGCTGCTCCTGGCTCTCAAAATGGGATGGAACATAGTGCCAGTAGAGATGGCACAACAGGCTGGCCTACTTTAGATTATATCTCACAAACTTTGGATGTTATAGACTTTCTAGCTTCAAGGTAAGTTTAGTCACATTATATTTCTGACAACCAACTAGTTACTACTTGTAAGTTGTAACAGCATTGTAATATCAATTAGAAGAGAACATTTAATTGCTGGTGCTGGCTGTAGAAGATTATTATTCTTAGCCTTTAAGTAGCTATCCAAGAGAAGTCGTACTTTTCAATAATAATTTTCTATTGCATGGTATGTTTTGCTCAGATTAACACAGCTACGGAAATCTGTTATTTTTATTATGAAGCAGTTCAGTTTTGTGATTTCTTTTAAGTCAATATACTTTGCAAGTTTCATGGTATGGAATAAAATCCATGACTGTAAATGACTTCAATTGTAGGTATGCAAAACATCCTGCCTTGCTAGGATTCGAGCTTTTAAATGAACCTTCTGCTGCCTCAGTTCCTTTGGAAGTTTTACTTCCATATTACAAACAAGGCTACCAAATTGTTCGAAAATACTCGCCAACAGCTTATGTAATCATGTGTCAAAGAATTGGCAATGCTGATCCTCTGGAACTTTACCAGGCTAATATAGGCTCTTATAATGTAGTAGTTGATTTGCATTACTACAATCTTTTTGACCCTTTTTTTGTTAATATGAGCTCGGCGGATAATATCCAATTTATATACAATAGCAGGCAAACTCAATTACGGGCTCTGAGCAATGCAAATGGGCCACTTGTTTTTATCGGTAAGGCACTTCATTCTGTTTTCCTCACAAATAAAAAAAAAATATTACGAAGATGTAATTTTGTATGAATTAAGCCTGAGTAGAAGTATTTGAAGACCTAGTTGAAATTTACTTCTAAACCACTGTTTGCTTTTTGATGCAAATTATATTTATGGACAAGCTTTAGATATTGAATTATAGAGTTTATATCTGAAATCTGGAGTATGTTGTTGTCAGGGGAATGGGTGAACGAATGGAATGTGACAGGTGGATCTCAGATAGATTATCAAAAATTTGGAAGGGCCCAACTTGAGGTTTATGATGCTGCTTCCTTTGGATGGGCATATTGGACTATCAAAAATGATAGGAAGCACTGGGATTTTGAATGGAACATTAGGAATCATTATCTGCAATTTGGTAATAGTTCAATCTCATCTCTTTCTTTTCTGTTTCTTTATTTTCAAAAGATCACTGAGCCAATAATTCAATCGATCCCATACTTGTCTTATAGCATATGAGATTCAAGGGTTCAACTTTTGGCATCCTTCTGCGTTTAAAATTTTCTGATGTGCGAAAAGTATTAAAAAGAAAAAAGGAAATTAGATGTGGTACCGTAACATTTTCAGGATTAATTGATTCTCATACTTCTTCTAAACATTACAGTATCAATTCTAAACTTTATAAACCATACTGTTACAATTGAAACACCTGTTAAATGTTCTTTTCTCAGATTCTTATTTATTCTCCGCAAAATTGGGAAAAGAGATTCTTATCAAGTAAAGGAAGTTTTCTGAGTTCAATTTTACAAACTTCAACAATATGTGAATTAAAACTAAAATTATTCAACTTTGCGTCCAAAATTAATTCTCTCCAAAATCTCCAAAATACTAATTATTTTATGCAAATCAGGGATTAGTTTAAAATGAACTTTGTAGGTGCTTAAACCCCTAAGCTAATTTTGTCAAACAAAAAATAAATTGAGGGAAAATTCAAAACTGAAATTGATTAATGGCGAATTGTGAAATTAAGCCTGAAGATAGGTTAACATTTTAATTTTTTGATTATGACTATATTATGTATTGATCACCTGAAATAGGAAAATCAGTCCATTTTTCTTTCATTTGCACCTATCCTTATCCATTCTAAATGTCTAACAGCTTATGAAATATGTTTATGCAGGTAATTCACCAGCCAAACCAATTTTCAACAGTGTAGTATTGCTTGGATTAGTCTCTACTTGCTTCTTTCTGCATCCCATATTCTAGCGGATTTCAGAATAGCAGAGATAAAGAGGAAAATCAACCAGCGGCTTTTTTTTTTCTTTTCCTTTTCCTTTTCCTTTTTCTCCTTTCTTTCCAGGAATTTCCCATATCCAGCATCTAAAATTTCATTCATATTGCGGAATTGCAGGCTCAATAAATATTTTTTAGAACAGAGTGTTGTTATAGCAAATGTCATTAGTCTTGTAAACATGGAAGCTACATTTATTATGCTTATCCTCAATAATATACAAAGAATATGTTTTCCTAACCTCTCTTTCTCACTCTGCAAATAACTTCTGCAATATAAGATTTTGAAGTGTTCTTCTCTAAAGCCAACTTTTGTAAATGAAAATGTAAACTCTCTTCACCACTTGGCCAATTGTAAAATAACCTAGAAAAAGCAAAACCAAAAATCCGAAATATGATATTGGCAGAGCGGTGAATCCCATGAACTTTCCTATTATTGTGAATGGAATTGCAATTCCTATAGCAGAAACCACAATTGTTGAACAGAGCACTGGCCATGAGGCAATCTCTTGAATGAAAGGGATTTTTTCTGTCCGGATCAAGTGGTAGATTAGTGTTTGCATCAGTAGCCCTTCAACAAACCAAGCAGAATGGAAGAATCTGTCATAAGCTAAATTATCTGCATTATAATAGAAGCAGAGGAATAGCAGGTTTGCTATATCACATAAAGTACAGACAGGACCATTCCATAATATGAAGATAGGTAAGCTTTTCTCTGACCATCTCTGTGGAGTTTTCACATAATCTTCCTCCAACTTATCCCACGGGATAACGATTTGACCGATGCTATATATGAAGGTTTGAGTAAGGAGTTGTCTTGGTTTCAATGGCTCAAAACCTAACAGCAATGTTGCTATAAGGAGTGAAAGAACAGCACCTACATTGGCAACGACTGACATTTTAATATATTTCATAGTATTACCAAATGTTAGGCGACCCTGCTCAACCCCATCAACTAGAACATTAAGATCTTTCTCTAGTAAGATTATATCGGCATAGTCTTTCGCAACTGATGCTCCTGAGTCGACTGAGATACCTACATTTGCAGCATCTATTGCGAGTGAGTCATTAACTCCATCTCCAAGGAATCCAATAACGTGCTCACCAACTGTTTGCAAGGATTGTACTACTCGGAGTTTCTGAGTTGGTGTAAGCCGAGCAAGTACTGTTGCTCTTTTAACAGATTCGTGAAAGTCGACTTGATTTAGTTCCTCAAGCTCTGGTCCTGTTGTTACATAATTGGTTCTAATGCCAAGTTCTTCACAAATTCTTACTGCTAAGGATAGTGAATCTCCTGTTAATACTTTTGCTTTAACTCCCTTCTCAGCTAACCTCCATAGAGCTTGCTTTGCAGAATCTTTTGGTGGGTCAAAGAACGTAATTACACCAAGAAAGACCATGTCTGATTCATCATTGACCATGTTTGGATCACTTATTTCCTGCAAGATTACAAGTAAAACAGTAATGCCAGTGAACAATTCAAACCAATCAGGCCTCAGATCCCAATCGGTTGGGGCTGGCTATTGAGAAACTAAACCCACAATTCCATAAAGCATGCAGAGTTCTTAGTGTTATCTTCTAGATGATGGTCTGAAATGTTTCTCGAAACTTTTGGCAACAGTGCACTCGCACCTCAATGTTTTATTATTATTCTTGAGAAGGTGATTGGTAGCTATTTTAACATTGAAGAATATGAATAAAATTTATTGTATTGTTGTATATCTCACCTTCTGTAATTGCTTTTCCAAATTTCCCAAAATCAAACTTTCAAAACATGATTTTAAGTCACTTTCTGAATTTTCCATCCAATTTTATGTTTTGTACTTTCACATTCTGTAATTATGTCATCCAAACTATGGCCTTGAAGACTAATAGGGTAGCTTTTGAAGTTTTCCACAAATATTGTGACATACTAAAATATAACAATATAGCTAAGAGTGAATGTGCTAAACATACCGTTTCTAGCTTTTTCATTGCAACACCTATAACCCTCAACCCTTGGTTGCTTAAATCTTCTGCCATATTCAAAATCCTGCCATAATCTTCTGAAGAAAAAGTGGTTATGACACCTTTATCAATATCTTCAATAAAAGAGCAAACTTTCATGATTTCTTCCAGAGCTCCCTTAGTTACCATGAACCTATCAGGAAGTTTCCCATTTCTTCTGCCTTCTGCATCTGATTCAGATTCCAAAATGATAGATATTCGTCTTCGTATAAAATCAAAAGGTATCTCATCCCTTTTTCTATACATAGATGGACGGAATCTGTATCCATTTGTATATACAAATGCTAAAATGGCATCATCCAAAGGATACATCTGATCTGTCTTGAAATAAGAGTTCAGGAAAGCAAAGCGTAAAACTTTTTCTTTTTGTGAAGCCCAGCTGTCTAGATGATTAACAACAATTGCACGGTTCATGGTGAGTGTACCAGTCTTATCCATGCATAAGATATCCCTATACGAAGCCAAAAGAGATGATGAAGCAAGGTACTATAATCAGATGTTTTGTTAATAATATTATCTAATATAAAGAAAATCAAATTTCTTGAATGATTGTATATCCTGACAATGATTTAGTGTAGTATTATTTTGCAGCAGAAATTGTGTTATGTATTTCTATAGGAAAAATTAGCCAAGGTTCCTGTAAGTTTTCAGTAACATTTTTTCCATGACACTGTCAGAAAATTCAAGATTAAGAGATTGCTAATATCCTACTAAATAAATGATTCTTTACAGAAAATTCAGCTTACTTGGGAGGTCAACAATCTGATTCTGATATCTTTTTCCTTTTACTATCCAAGAACTTGTAAACATTAGATGGTTGAAAATTATCAGATGAGATTACTGACAGTTACCTATCTGTGTTAGCTGTTCTTCCATGCTATTTACCATGTAGATAAATAGTTGGCTTAGAAGCCAAACACCAAAAGAATAAAAAATAAACTTCATATATCAGTCAGTCTTTTATCTTTTTTGGGTCTCAAAAGAAGCATTTTCTGATACTAAATAGCTATTCAGTTGATCCACCACCCCATTTAGGCTAATTAATATTAGGGATGTATGCATACAAAATTCACCAAAAATAACTATGAAGTGAAAAAATAACTTACATGGATCCCATATGACGTATAGCAGTTAAGCTTTTGACAATGCATCTGTCTCTAGCCATGGCAAGTGCTCCTTTCGCAAGACTTGTGTTAACAATAAGGGGAAGCATATTAGGAGTAAGGGCACATGCCACTGAGAGTCCAAAAAGAATACATTCACTCAGATCTTGTGATTTCAGGTAATTCACCAAAATTATTATTGTCATTACTACTAGCATAACAGCAATAAGGACATAGGATATCCGCCGGATGCCATTCTCAAAGTCATCTGGTGGTTTTTGCTTCCCAACAGTTGAAAACATGGTGCTCATATAAGTCTTTGATCCAGTGGAAACAACCAAACCAATCCCACTTCCTGATACAACATTTGTTCCCTAAAATACATTCAAAGCCCATATATTTCTTAGTGATGTAAACATGATAGCCTATTACTGCCTAGAACTGAGAGAAACTATAAAGGTTGAAAACACATTTAGAGAACCATATCAAACCGGGCTAATTTTCACCCACTGTCCCTTAAGTTGGCACTGAGCACTTTTTGTTTTTAAATATCAATTTGTAACTTAAAAATTACCAATTTCAATTTATCTAATACTAAAAAATCATTTTTACTAGATTTTCGGATAAGTCTCACCGCAAAGCTAATGGAAAGGATATGCTAGATGTAAAATCATTTTTTATACTCAGTGATTGTACTAGTTTCTCTCTCTTTTGCCCATTTGTCTATATGTTGTTTTTAAAGAAACAACTTTCTCTTCACTTTTCATGAATTCCATAAACAAATAGGTAGAAGATAGAGAAACAAATAGTTAAAGGTACAAAAATGGTTTTATGTCTATTGTGTCATCCGTGTTAGCTTTCTAATGAAAATTTTTCAAAAATACGGTAAAAGTGCTTTTACTGTTACATAAATTGATATTGGATAATTTTATGTTACAACTGGAGTTTAGGAACCATGAAGTGTTAGTGCTAACTCACAACAAGAGAAAATGAGCTTACCAGAACCTGTACCACAAAAGTTCAATCAACCGTGAAACCTAGAAATTATTGTACTTTTCTTAAGAGTATTAACAGATATATTTATTTCTATTTTATTACTGTTTTGCATATCCACATGTCCCCCAAAACGAAGGTGAATGTTCATGTCTATCCTTACTCCTGCATGCTAAGACACTACCAGAAACAAATAGTTGGAAATTAATATCTGTCACGTTGCTACCTTATTATGACACGACTCCAAATTCAGACTTTAGTGCTAAGGTTATGACTTCAACCAGAAATTCAGCAATATAAACACCTACCATGAAGCAAATATTCTTCAACTCTAGCAGAGGAGTGCTCTGATTCTCTTTAGTATCAGCTGTTTTTTCAGTTGTCCAAGACTCGCCAGTCAATGACGATTGACTGTTCCAAAAGCAGGGTGTGAAAATGTGTTTTATAGGAAAATAATCACATGATATGAAAGTAATTAGAAAACCCAGATCTAGAAAGAATATGCAAGTTTTAGAGGTTCTACCTTACAACTAGGTGCTTTGATGATAATAATCTCACATCTCCAGGAAAAAGGTCCCCTGGTTCAAAAATGACAATGTCCCCTGGAACAACATCTCGTTGATCAACTTGGACTATTAACTCTGTCTGAACAACTCTACCAGCACATCTTTGAACTTTTACTGGACATTTAACAAACTCATAGAGTTTCATGGCAGCTTTTGAACTACCGTATTCCTAGTTCATGAAAAAAAAAAAAAAAAAAAAAAAAAAAAAAACAAAAAAAGCAACAGCTATATTTTAGGAAATAGAGAAGCAAACTATTGGCTGAAACAAATTAACCAAAACTACCTGTAGAATCTAAGGCTGACCAACTAATAAAAACCAGTATGAGCATGATGCAATCCATTTGGATTTAAAAAAAAAAAAAAAAAAAAAAAAAAGCAAAGCTATATTTTAGAAATAGAGAAGGCAACTATTTGGCTGAACAAATTAACCAAAACTACCTGGTAGAATCTAAGGCTGACACTAATAAAAACCAGTATGAGCATGATGCATCCATTTGGATTATCACTAGCTATATATGAGAGTGCTGACAGCACAATCAAAATGATATTGAAAGGGTGGAAAAATGCCGCCCACAGAAGATGGCCCCAGCTTGGAAAAGTATATTCAAGAGGAATATTTGGGCCATTTTCTTTCAATCTTCTCTCAGCTTCAGAAAAGCTCAAGCCTGCAAAAAGCAAAAGGACATCTGTCTTATAATAGACAAGGGTAAGTATGCCAAATCGTTATACTGACAAATATTATAAACAGATAGGAGTTCCTAAGATGACAAACTAGTTAAATAAAAAATAATAAATTATTCACTCTGGTTAGGAGGAAGAAGAGAGAGCATACATCCTGAAATGCGCTAATTGTGAGAGATTTTCCAGTCACACATTCTAAGTGCTTGCAGTCGGTTGATTGTTCAATGGCATGCATGTAGACACCAATTTAGCAAATCATATAGAAACAACAGCTAACCACTCTAGCCTATTCTTCTATGGAAAAGATATGGTTATTTAACAATACAAATAGAAAGTAAAGCTTTGTAGAAAAGCTTTGTAGAAACTCAAAATGTAGGAAGGAAATATGTTGAAGCAAACAAGATGTTATAATAAGGTACTTCGTTTTGTAAATATGTGCAAAATAAGATAGTATCTAAGCAGAAAATCCTGCAGTCTTTACTGTAGCATAGTCAAGAGAAATGTCTATTTATGCAGAAAATTAAATTGAAAAGGTTAGTACGTCAGAGGAACCAAGAAAACATAACTGTTATAGGCGTCTTTGTGTGCAAGAGAAAAATGGCAGAGTTCGCCAGAGGATCAAGAGACTTTCACACGTACAAGTGTGGGTCTTAGACAAGATAAACAATTAAGAGTATCTATAACAAAGGGATGGACTTGAATTTAATTCTTAGTATTGATTTGAACATCTATATTACAGAAAAAATGTGTTCTTCTTTCTGGCAGATAAATGAGTGGACAAATTTTTGCAGATCTATTTGTTAGGTCCTGGAATATCTGTGAGAATAACTGTACTTGTCCATTGAAGCTTGTCAATATATTATCATCATTCTTGAATAACATATAAGGATGAACTCCACAGGTTGCAATTTCCTTTAGCACAATCATGAATTTAACTGTCATTGACTCATCCCACTATCTTTTTTACTTTGCAATGAAATTCTATAGTCAGACAGCAAGGAGGAGGAAGAGGGAACAGTTAGAATTCAGAGAGTTCTACCGATCAAATTATACTTTTGATACAGAATTAATTAACCTATTAAACAGCAGAAGAGCTGGATCATATTGTCCAAAGAATTAAAAAGTTCTCTATCACTCTAAAACCAATACAAACAGTCTGGTTATCAAACTACAGAGATTCTTTTAATTGACATTTCATCAAACACATAAAGTCATTAAAATAATGAAATCTGAAATTATAAAAAAAAAAAAAAAATTGAAGCTATAAAGAAAAGAAAATACAAGAAGAAATACTCACCTCTTTCAGTGGATTGAACATACTCGTAAACCAAATTTTTATCCGATTGTGCCAATGAATATAACCAAGAATAAACTTTCTCTTCTTCATCCGTCCTTGACCCCCCATCGATTTTCCCTACGCATTACAGCAAAATAGCACACTCACTTCAAAGAAACAAACCATAAACATAAAACCAACAACTAATAATAATTATAAAGTGAGACTCACTTCCAGAGAAAATACGACCCAAGTACTGAATAACAGATTTGGGGAATCCATAACTAAGGGAATTCTCAGGACTCTTCACCAGCTGTTCGCGAAATGGACTGTGAGAAGGAAGAATATTGTTATTAGCGTGGTTTTGATTAGTTGCAGATAAAATGGAAAAGATTCTGGGAAATCCCATAATAGAAAACTCTGTGCTATTTGTGAAGAAGATTTGGATAATGATACATATGGAGACAACAGATAGAATAGCAATAAGGTAAAACAGAGCATTGTTAAAGGGGGGGTTAGAGATTTGAAGAGAAGGTAGAGAAAAAGAGATAGAGAGAGAGATATTAATAAATTTTATGAGCCTAATTTTGCTAATTTTCAATTTCTATACATCTTCAGTTCTTGGATTTTCTCTTTGTTTCTTAGACTTTCAACTACCAGACTTCAAATGACCGTTAGGTGCAGTTGAGAGCGCAAAATATAACAGATTGAACCGTTGGTCTTTGCAATTGCCCCCTTCTTTTCATTTGTGGTCTTCGCCTGATGTCATCTAAACTAAATCTTCAAATCCCGCCCAATCGTACAGTTCACGCGATCTATGTCGCTCAATAGAAATGAAATGTTTTTTTCGCGATCGTTGAACGACTAGTAGTCCAGTTTACGACGCTGACGGCAGGGCTTAGTTTGAGCCGGTCCTTTCTGCACCAGCAAAACAAATTAAAACGGCTGTCGCATCTGGTGCGGAATGAAAATGTCTTTTCAATTGATTCCGCAATTTTTGAAGTGTCCACTGCCTACCCGCAAGTGATGCTGCCTACTAGAGGAAAGGGCTTACTTGCAGTGCATGTTCCGTGTACCAAACTAATTTAAAAAAAAAAAATTATTTAAATAAATATACTTTAAATGTCCAAAGGAAAAAAAAAATACAACAATAATAATCTTTTAAAAAATTTTTTAATTAGCAAATCGTCTTGTTCAGACAAATCTTATCATTTACTATACATGAGTTTCATCAAATGTGCAATGTGGGACAGTATTCACTGCATGTATGGTTATCTTTTCCTACTCAAATCATAAGAGCACTGAGCTCGTGCCATATTCATCCATATAAGAGACTAATGATTTATCATCTTAACATTAATTATTGGGAATCACAAAAGTAACTTAATGTATGATATATTGCACATTTGTAGACTCTTTGGAAAATATTGATATAGTTTCATGTACACTATGTGAATTCCAGACAAAACGAATGTATTTAGCATTTTCTCTATTTTCATAAAGAAATTGTTTCTATGACTCGAACGCAAAATTTCTAAATTACAAGTAGAGAACCTTCACAAATTTAACAATAAATCAAAATAGTATAATTAATCTTTGCCAAAAAGAAATTCTAATTGCAAAATTCCTAATTTAATAATTACTCTGTGTCTTAAGTATCAAAAAGTACCAAAAACATAAGGAAAGAAAAAGGTTGATGTGAAAATAATATATGATGATTGGGAAGAAATCGTGTACAAACCACTTTCCACGTATATTATATAAAAACATAAAGAGAGAGGAGACACCAAATGTCCATTTGTAAATGGAAGGACATATGGAATCAACAACAGCTCATGACATAAGGACATCATACCTTTTTAGGGGGGGAGCTCCAGTGCACTCGCTATATAGCAATTTCTATTAGTATAATGAAGAAGGGACTGAAATGATATCAATTAGAAGTTCCATGATATATAATTTAGAACGTCAGACACAATTTCAAACGTTCGTGGAATTGCTATATATATTTGATTAATTAGGCTCTTTAATGGCTATTCTCTAGAATGTTTAATCTGAAAACTACATACATCTATGTGTATATTTTGAAGTCGAAATATTTTTTAAAGAATCTTTAAATTTTTTTTGCTTGGTTCATATGTTGGTCATGGATTCAGTCTAGATAAGTTTTTTCCATTCACTTGTTATATGTTTACTATAGCTTTTAACATTAAGTTTTACATTTTTTAACTATTTAATAATATTTAATTAATTTATTTTATATATTAAAATATTTTATAGAAAAATTTTGCAAGTTGAAAATTTGCTGATTATTAAATAAAGGACAAATATATTTAGCGATGGCAACTAGCAGGAGAATAAGTGTGCTATGATTAGTGAACTTGCCAGCCAGGATGTCTATAGACCAACATGGCCGCACGAGAGAGACTGCTCGCTCTAGTAGGCAAGTATTTGGATAGAAACAAGTCGTAACCATCTACTATTTAATTTTTTTTAATCTTTTCTTTTCTCCAATAAAAGATATTAATACCTCGTAGCATTATGGGTTTAGCGAATGAACTTTTATAAATTTTAACCATCCGAGCTTTATATCTAGAATTCAAATTTAAACCTCTGATTAAGCGAGAATAGATCCTGCTATCTTATCTCACCCATTAACAGTAGTGAATGAGCTCCTTTAATATACATACTCATCGTAGATAGATATCTTTCCCAACAACATAGTTATATTAGCTTGCCGGCCACCAACAAAGTTCTTGTCCTTTTGATGAATATGAATTCACTTTTTGAAACCATTGGAGCATGGTCTACTAGCCAGCCACTCAAAAATTCAAGTTAAAGGAGGAGACATGGCTAGCTAATTATAATTAATTTCATGTAATTATTAATTAGGAGGAGCAAAATAGAGAAAATAATAAAATAGGTAATTGACATTATTTAAATCTCACAATACATAGTAATAATAATAATAAACCCTTCTTTTGACAGTTGAAGGGAAAAAAAATACATAAAAACATTGGAAATGGTACACAAGCAAATGAAAGCCATGTTACAAACAACATAGCTCAAAAAAAGAAGTCTTCATAAAGACTTAATGTACCTGTGTCATTAAACCTTATAGCGATCAAGCTTTTATCATCAGAGGTATCAAATCCTTCTGAAGTACCAAAAGCAAAAAAGAGCAAGATTCTGACAACTCTAAAATTTAAGTTTTCGATACAATTAGAAATCGCCAAAACTTTATATTGGGAAGGCAAAGTTTCGGACAAATTTTAGAGGCAAATGGTTAAGAATGAAGTCAAAATTCTGGTAGGTTTTGGATTCGAATCCTAGGAACTGACTTCCGATGTACCAGAAAAGAAGAAGAAGAAGAAGAAGAAGAAGAAGGAGAAGAGAGAATAAAAGTTCATCTTGAGCGAAAAAAGAAGATACTAAGCTCTTGACCTATACCTCCATCAGGGTCAATCAAATGGAAAGATTCAGCTTCAGAAGAACCAGAAACTCTAGCAAAATTAGCCCTAAGATACATAAGCTCGTCATCTCTATCAAGCTCTTTTCCACTAATGATTCCAGCACCCACAACAACTGAACCCATTAACCTTAATGCTTCTCTATCAACTTTTGATGGCCTGCGTTTAACTGCATACCCAGCTTTTCTTCCATTACAATACATATTCCATAACGGCATAGACAAAAGACAACAGGAAGAATAATCATAATTTACATTATTATACCCATAATTACTACACTCTAATGCTATACGTAAAATCCCACCTTGCATTTCTTTGGCTAGAATAGTAGTAGGTACTGCAAATTCAAGAAGGAAAATTGGGTTTACAGATTTGGAGTCTGTTTGAATGCAGAAACTAGCTTTTCCGCGGCGAAAGCCAAAAAAAGTGCCTGTGATTGTAGAAGATGCAGTGAAATTTGGGTTTGGATTATAAGTATAATTGTAGTAATTCTGAAAGTGTTCTACAAATTCTTTTTTCGTGGGCTTTTGTTGTTGTTCTTCTATGGAAGTACAGTTACAATTTGGAATTAGAAGTTCTATTAGAGACTTAAAAAGCCTCCATGAACGGACTTGCTTTTGGCAGTCCGCAGTTGTGACACCATTGGTTATGTTGGTGGCACCAAAGCTTTGATAGGACATGGAGCGTTTTGGTATAGAAAAATACGGGAGGATAGTTTATGGAGTTGTTGATGAGGATGGTTCGGTGTTTAAATAGAGTGTAGAAGGGGTTAAGAGCCAAGTTTACCTTCACTAAAAAGGAAAAATGCCAATCAGCCTGCTAATATTTTAGATCGGGGTGATAGTAAATCAAGCGGTTGAAAATGGAAAGTAATAATTAAGAAGATGTGAGCTAATATTTCTAGTTATTATGAGATGAGACAGCAGAGGTGAATTCTCTCTTAACTAGAGATTTTGAGTTTGAGTATCGTAATTGGAGTCACTTTAAATATGCCGAAGGAAAGACATTGTCCATTCTTTGTGGACATATCCAACGTAAGTGCGTATGGCTAGTAGACTTTAGATACCGAATATTTTAAACTAAAAAATAATAACTAAAATACCGAAAGCTAATATTTCTAACTATTGGTACTTGAATATCTAATTGTTAGACTACCAGCCTCCAACCACAAGCTCCAATTGTTAATCTAAACGGAGTCTAAATAATTTGTCTTTATTTATATTGATTTTGTGAGTTCTTAAACGTTAAAGTTGAACCACAAAATTTTACGGCATTTGTAGAAAAACTTTACGTGCAAGCGTTAGGAGTTCAAAATCTAAAATTGCCACTGGTTTGAAGGCTTCATACGAATCTTTTTATACAAATCCCACTTCGGCCTAAACTGAATGATTATGAATTAAATAGAATGGATGGTATTTAAATAAAGAGTAAAGAGAATAAGAGATCCATTCACCTCAAAAAAAAAAAAAAAAAAAAAAAAAAAAAAAAAAAAAAAAAAAAAAAAAAAAAAAACCAACATATCAATCTAATTAAGATGATAATTAAGGATAGTAAATCAAGCGGTTGAAAATTTAAAACAATAATTAAAATGTTGAAAGATAACATTTCTAGCTATTAGTATTTGACCGTCTAATTGTTAGAACGTCAGCCACCAACTATTAATAGCAACTATTAAACCAAACATGATCTAAATAATTTCTTTATTTATAGTGATTCAGAGAGTTATTAGACATTAAACTTGGATTAATGAAAGTATGCTGCATTTTTACGCAAATTTTACATGTAAAATGAGAAATTTCATCGTCAATATTTGGAAGACTTTATAGTACATATTTGTGTTGTTGTTTTTTTTTTTTTTTTTTTTTTTTTGGGACGTAAACCCATCGGGTTTTTGGACCCATTTATTAAAGGACGCCTAATAATTGTGCTCGACTTAGTCAAATACATTAAATGTGTTAGGATTAATCAAAATAATATTATTTAAAATCTGTTGAATTTCATTTTTAATTATATTAGTGCAGATTATTCTGCATTTAGAATTTGATATTTCGTTATTAGGATTTGAAGATTTTAGGAGGTATTTACGATATTCTTTGATTCACTTCATAGGCCTATATCAAATAGGCAAACATTCTTTGTTAATTCAAATGAGTGCAAACATTGAAGTGCTAAAACATTGTTAATATCTTGTGCGTTCATTTCTTCCTTCCAAATCACAACATGGTATCAGGAGCCTGTCTGTTAAATGGCCACAAACATCTATTCCATTTCCTTCCCTAAAAATCTCAACTTGATTAAAGGAAAATCCCTCCAATTGCCATCCAACCAACTTATGGTTCTGCTCAAATTAAGAATCATTTAGCGAAGAAAAAAGCCAAAAAATTCAAACCGCAAAAACCTGCCTCATATTCAACAAAGATTGCAGGGTATAAAAATCAATCAATTTTGTGCAAGTGCAAGAGGAAGGGAAACTCTTCTTTTGAGTATTGGATTGGAGGAAAGTTGCTCCAAGAGAATATTGGAGAGATGTGTCCAAAATAAAAAGAAGTGATGAGAAGTAATCAATATTTGAATAGAAGTGCTTTCCAAAAAGTTTTTTTTAAAAAAAAATTTGCTAGTTTTTTGATGAGAAGTGCATTCAATATTTGGTGAGAAGTGCATCAAAATGATGAGGGAGAGAGGTGCTTCAACAAGTTAATTGAAGAGAAGTGGCTTCAAAATGCGTAGATTAAAATTTTTAATTGGTTAATACTGTATAAAAATATTATGTTTGAATTAAGATGGAGATGTTAGGGATTAATTCAAAATAATATTTATAAAAATCTGTTGAGATGTTCATTTATTTAGTGCAGATATCTGCATAGAATTTGATAAATGTCTTCTGTTATTAGGATGTTTTGAACTTTTTTAAGGTATGCTCCAAATCTTTGAATTATTAGAATTCTTTATTCACTTCTTAATCCGATATTAAAATAGGCCACAGTATTGTCTCGTCAAGCTGGATAGTGGCATCGGATCTACATCTCAAGATGCTCCATGAAGTGCTAAACCAATCGCGTTGCATCCTCTCCGATCGGTCACTGGTCCTTCGCTTGCACTCAGCGTCCGGAACTCTCTTTCTTGAGCTTCCAAAAATATCCCATCACCCCAAGTATCGTCCGGATATATACCGGATACTCTCATACATGTGAAAAATCTATTTCTGTTATTAGGATTGAAGATTTTTAGGAGTATTTTAGATATTCTTTGATTCACTTCTAAGCCTATAAATAGGCACATTCTTTTGTTAATTCAATGCAGTGCAAAACATGAAGTGCTAAACATTGTTAATCATCTTGTGCGTTTCCATTCTTTCTTCCAAAATCACAACAATATGTGTTGTTAATACATGTGCAAATCAAAATATATATATATATATATCTACTACCTTATATAGTGAATGTATTGTTAATATTAGCCTTAGAGATGTTTCTTTCTATCAGCCTAGAAAGGAAGAGTTATGCATTGGTTGGTCACTTCCTCCCTTTTACATTGAATTAAACTTAATATTGAGTTCAAAGAGGTGGTTGGCTTCCCCTGTTTCGAAATTTAAATAAGCAAATGACCCTTCATAATAACTCATAAACATAAATTTTAAAATAAAAAAAAATTAATTTTCTATTTCAAGATTATTAGATAAATCCTCATATATCAATATAATCATTAAAAATCATGGCATTTATTCTGGTTCATTTAGAAATAGATTAGCAATTTCAAGAATTTTAAATATCCTTAAAAGAGTCAAATTCATCGATTGAAACGTTCTATATTTAGTTTGTCCAACATTACATTGTAGACTTTTTTTATAACAGTTGAAGATTGCTATGACAATATCCTTTGGAATTTTTAAATTTCAAATCAACATTGTGAAGTAGCAATTGAATTTAAAAATAATAATTATATAATAAAATTATTATTTCTAAATAATAATTATCTAACTTATATTTAAGATCATAATTTAAATTTTTTTATTAATAAATTTATCTAAAACTTCTATACGATTTTACAGTATTCTACAGTTGTCTTGCAATTTTCAAAAAGTGTTAAGTGTCTATTCCAAAACCCACTGATCCGACTATTTCAGATTCGAGTGGGACAGGCTCGTAAAGAGGTAGCACTCACGAGTGTTTAAAGGGATTATATACCAAAACTCAAACTCGATATATCTAATTAAGGGAGAAAGGATCTCTATCATCACATCTCATTTACTGGGAGTACAAGATGTCTTAAATTATTAACTTATTCGAGTAATTAAAATTTATTTATTTTATGAAAGATTTTTTTTTTTTTTTTTTTTTTTTTTCCTTATAATTATTGACTAGTCTCATCGATCTATTGCGTTTCGTGGAGTAATTAATAACGTTAGTTACTCGTCTTACTATGATTTTATCACATAATGACATTTTTTTTTTTTTTTTTTTTTTTTTTGAAAGGGAAGAAATTTTTTTTTTTTTTTTTTTTTTTTTGAAAGGGAAGAAATTTTATGTTTTATAAACAAAAGTTAGGTATCAAAAGTGATAGCTAGACTAACCTAAATTACCTTGAGCATAAAGATATTAATTAATTTATTATAATAATAATATATACAAAGAATTGAATTGACTTGAACCCCAATTTTTTTTTCCACACTATAACTAGACAGACTAATCAAACTCTGTTTTTCCCATTTCTTTTCAGAGTTTTGGTTTCTTCTTAATTAAAATAAAAAAGAAATTGACAAATAATGGAATGTCAAAGTCATAAACCACAATTGATTAAATACACTAATTATCGACCAAATTAATCGTTATGGGGGGATAAAGTAACCTACACAATATACAACTATTTTGCAAAACATCTATTTTAATATTTATTTTCTCAAATTCATTATCTGGTTTTCCATTAGAATTTCTTATAAGATCGTTGTATTTATTTAGTTATGATAATTTATTTTATATCTAATCTTTAAGAGAGTGTTCAATTTAATCTCAATATATTTGTTTTAAAAAATTATTGTAGATATACGAGGAAGGCCCGTAATAGGAACATTAGATTTTATTTCTTTGTCTTGTTTTGCATATAATAACATGACATGGAAAGGGAGAGATTTTTTTTTTTTTTTTTTTTTTTTTTTTTTTTTTTTTTTTTTGTGTATTATATTATAGGGATGGTGATGCAAAAAAAAAAAAAAAAAAAAAAAAAAAAAAAAAAAAAAAAAAGGGGCGAAAAATTTTAAAAAATGTTAACATTCCATCATATTATATATACTGGGCGTTGCGTTATATTACTTGCTTTTCCTTAAAAAGCGCATCTATCCGTTTAACTCGTGTACAGGTACCCCTTATCCCATTCATGTCTTCGTGTCAGTGGCACTCCCGTCTCTGTTATTATACGAACTTTCCCAGCTCTCTCCTTGCGTCTCGTTGTAAGGACATATAAAATGACGAATTGCAACGATACTTATGCTCAATCTGTGTGTTTTTCTCTCTTACGTGCGGTCCATCGTGTCCTCTTTCTTATTCACTGCTATATAACAGCGGAAGCTAACGACCCATTCGTCTCTGCCCTCTCCTTAGCCTCATTATATTGCACCTCTCATCCGTGTCTATGTCTCATGGGAGTGGCGACTGTCATATTATATAATCTAGAGCGCCCTCCCGACAAATAAAACAATTCCATTTAGAGCATATCCAACAAAAAAAAAAAAAAAAAAAAAAAAAAAAAAAAAAAAAAAAAGAATAAATGTGAACAAGTAATGGGGTTGGTTTCTGCTTTCTAGCCTGGTTTCTCCATTCATGTCTTTTGGCCTTTCAATTTTTCTTTCCATGTGTTTGTAAGCATAAAATGACAAGAGAAAATATTTGTTTTTTAGTTTCTCTATTTCTTTAGGCAAGAGAATCCCTCTGCTTTTTTATATTGCTTTCGCTTCATTCCTTTATATATCTGCCAAAATAAAACAATTCCATTTTGAGCATATCAAATTTTGGTGGACATATAAAATAATGTTGGAAAAGATTCAATGAAATATGAATATTAATGATTTAATGTACTTCTTTTTATTACAAACACAACTTTTTCTAACTTGATTGATATTTTTCATTTTATTTATAAGTATGTTTGAAAAATGCAATATTTATATATAAATCACAAGATTTAACCTAATTATATGAAATTCTATAAAATTGAATAAATGAAAGTGAAATGAAACTTTTTTATATTTATAACGACCATTAAATTTAGTATAACTTTTATATGATATTATATCAAAAGCTTGAAAGATTGATGTGCGCGTGTAAATGAAAATATTGGTTAGATACATAAAATTCACTTTTAAGTTTTATAATTTTAATTTTATAGTAACATATTATGAATCACATATCATTCACTAGAAATTTACAAATTTTAATAACATTACACACCTATTTACACTAATAATAATACTCCTACATCTTATATAGAGTGGAAGCGAGGCAAGCATTCGCAAATTTTGAGTTATTCATCCTCGTATCTATCTCAAACTCTTTTAAATATCTGTTTAAGTACTTGTACTCATCCGAAACTCATTTAAAAGGGATATTTACAAATTTTAAACTATTCGAGTCCGAACTTATTTAAAATATATTTTTTTATGGGTTAAGTATATGTGGATACCCATGATCAATCATGTTTAATATGGCAGGTAACATGTATCGAGTATGTAGGTACCTATACTCACACTCTATCCGTATCCGTGTGGATATTAATTTCACTATCCATATTTATCTCAAACTCATTTATAACAAATTGTATCTTTATTAAATGGCAAAGAGCGGAGCATGTAACCCTAAAATACTCGGTCCCCGCTTCCGTCCCTAATCTCATAATAGTAGGCCTACTTTTCTTTTTCACCCATTCCAAAACAATTTCCTTTCTAATACTATAATATATTTATTAGTTTCTTATTATACCCTTATTTAATTTGCATCATTATTATATCACATATTAATCCTCTTTTATATTCATTTACATATTTCAGAATATTAGCCAACTAGCAATGATAATGGTCTTGAATTTCTAATTAATAATTTAACATTTCTAGGATTTCTAATTTTAATAAGGAGAGACATTTAATATTAAATGAGGGTATTATAAGAAAAGAACAAGTTTAACCATAAAATCTACTCATTTTCTTAATCTGCGTAATATAATTTTTGAAATAACAATTTTAACATTTTTAGTTATCTATTAAATATTTAATTAATTTAATTTTACAAATTAATGTATTTAATGAAATAATTGTGTAAGTTAAAATACTTAACAAGTATAATTTTATAAATTAAACTGTTTGATTAGTCAAAATAAAAATAAAAGATGCTATAAAGTTAACTTAACAAAATTATCATACATGTATTCAACAAGAAAATAATTTTCAAATTCAAACTAAAAAATTTGTCTAAATTTTTCAGGTTCTGCAATTTATACTCCACTTTAACAGTTCCCCTTACATATTACACAATTGCTAAATTTTGAAAATCTAAACAAAACATTAAGTTAGAATTTAAAAATAAAAGATTGGAAATTCATGTTTTGGGCCCCTTAAATTTAAATTTATTACAATAAAAAAATACTCCATATATATATGTATAAGCACGTTTTTCTTTTTTCTTTTCGTAGACAGTTTTATAATCACACAGAAGAGCAACTGATATAGAACAAAGAGTGTTCTCTTGTTATCCATACCATTGTTGCAAACACCCTGCCAGATACTATTGTTCTAATTTAGAGACCAGCAATATATATATATATATAATATTTTCTAGAACAAAACCATTAAAAAGAATTTATATAACATTGAAAAACGATGAGTGGGGAAGATAGAGTTATAAAAAAACAATTCATAACAATTATGAAAAGCGGCAAAAAGCCCAAATTTATACATTTTAATAATAAAAGCAGCACCTTTCAAAAAATCAAAAAAAAATAATAAACGACAGAATTATTAGTTAATAATTTGATCCATTATTTTCAATAATTAGTTAGACTCCCAAATAATTTCAATAATTGCAAATTAATTAATTTCAATTGCTAAAGTAAAATTAAAAAAGTCATTTCTCAACGAGGACTTTTCACAAACAAATAAACTGCACTATCTAATTCACACAACAGTAATAGATTTAAAATTGATTTTCCATTTCAACCATTCAAAAGGAAAGAACCACATAAAAACCTAAAACAAAAAACAAACATGAACATAGAAACAGCCTTCAAATCTAAGCCCTCTCGCCCCTAATTCTTCTCGCCAACTGAATATCCTTAGGCATAATAGTAACTCTTTTAGCATGAATTGCACAAAGATTTGTATCCTCAAACAAACCAACCAAATAAGCTTCAGCTGCCTCTTGCATGGCCGCAACAGCACTGCTTTGGAATCTCAGATCAGTTTTGAAATCTTGAGCGATTTCCCTTACCAATCTCTGGAATGGAAGTTTCCTTATCAAAAGCTCTGTACTCTTTTGGTATTTCCTGATTTCTCTTAAAGCTACAGTTCCTGGACGGAATCTGTGAGGCTTCTTAACTCCGCCGGTAGCTGGAGCTGATTTCCTCGCCGCCTTTGTAGCTAGCTGCTTCCTTGGCGCCTTGCCTCCAGTGGATTTTCTAGCGGTTTGCTTTGTACGAGCCATTAGAGTGGAAACAACGAACCGTTTCTTTTCTTAGAATATAAGAGAAAATGCGAGGGAGAAATTGATGGAAGGGAAAATCGTTTGTGGATTGTTATATAGGAAGAGAGAGGAGCGACGCGGGACGGCGGGAGGAGGAAAATTTTGCGGGATCTGAAAATTTGGAAGGAGGGAATTTGGGCCGTAGATTAAACGAAAATCGAACGGTAGATAAATGCTTAGAAGGGTGTGACGTGGATCCGATCCGTGTGTTGCGTAGAGTGACCAATAGGATTAGTTTGACCTGGCGGGTTCTTTTTAATTTTTGGCTCCTTAATCTTAAAATTTATGTTTTCGAATAAAAATTTGAAAAATTATTAATAATGGCTTCTTCTGGATTAATGGGCCAAACTAAACGGCCACATTATTGATGGGCTTTTAATTTTTGAGAATTCACATATTTGTTAACAATGAAAGGTTCAGTGGGCCAAAACCAAAAGGCCGTAAAAAATTGTTTGTTTCCTGATATAAAATACTAAGCAATGATAATTTTCTTTAGTAATTTTTAATTAAAAAAAAAAAGAAAAACAGAGGGAGAAAGAAAATAATGTATGAACATATATATATATTTTTTTTATACATAAGTGGTTAAATGAATTGGAGAACGTGTAGGCTATATAAAAGGGCAATTTTTTTTTTTTTGAACACCATTTACTAAATTGGTGTTAATTTTTTTATGATAGAGATAATTCGAGAATATATGCACATATTGCAGGGCCTCTTATTAATTATTTCCATCACGATAGTTAGGGGTGTCCAACTCAGTTTCGTTGACAGATATAAAAGTTTTGTATTTCTTTCTATGAGGCCTTTGCAAATTGTTTAGTAATAATAAATTAATAATCACTCAAGTCTAATAAAGCTTTATTCAAATCGGGTCCTGGAGAAACAGCCCTAAATTGATAATAATGCATTTTAAAAGTTATGAAATTACATATTTATTTTTAAATTTCATAAAATATCTTAAAATAAAATAATTTTGGACAAATGAACATTAATAATATTAAAATAACGCCCCTCTTTTATAATATTCCTTAACATCCTCTATATTTACAAAGAAAATATATATTAGATTAAAACAAATTCAGAACGTTCCATGCATTCATGTAGCTTTGTTCGTAAAAATAATTATTTTAGCAGTTGTTAAATGTTTTGTTAGCTATCAGTTTTTGTATTAATGTTTCACCAAATGTTGGGTTATCAAAAATTAATTTTAAGACGTAATCTTTTTGTTTGATATCTTATTTTTCATTTTCATGTAAATTGGTAGAGAAGTATCACTACAATTGCTACTACCGTTATGGTACTTGCACAACGTGCTTGCTGTTCTGTTAATACATACCATCTAGTACTTCATTTAGTTTTTAATTTCACTTTATGCTCTGTTGCTATTATTCCATTTGACTTCTCCTTCATCTTCTACTCTTTCTCTTTCTAGTTAGTTTTGGTTTCTTGTTTCTGATAAAGAACCACATCTTCAAACTCAGACACACAGTTTAACTCTTTCTGTTATTTCTATGTTGTTTATGTTCATAAAACAAGAGTAAAATGATGGGTTGTTCTTCTAAAGTTGGGAATAATAGTTAGGATTGTTCTTTGTAGATTTTGTTGAATTGGCTGTTTGCGGTGTTCATTTGGAAATTTGTACAGTCAGATATTTTTAGCTAATCCTTTTGTTGCATGCTTGGGATTTATCAGTTCATGAAACTGTATTATAATTATTGTTGTTTTTTTATCTTATTTTCTGTCTTGTGGGACTTCTTTCTTTAACTTTGTGAGTTGAATAGGAAAACCCATCTTTGCTTTACATTTTCATTGAGTTATTAATTATCTGTATGCTTTAATTCTGGTCATCTCTGCTTTATATATCAGGCCTCGTCTGGTGCAAATCTGTTCTCATGTAGAGTGAAGATAATCAAGAAGAGGGAGAGGCTGAATGCTCACTTCGGTCAAGTTGGACTACAGAAAATATGTAATTTATGGTTTGTATGCAAAGAAATTGCCAATCAATTACTTGAATCTGTGTTTTTTTTGTTTTTTTTTTTTTTTTTTTTTTTTTTTTTTTTTTTTTTTTTTTTTTTTTTTTTTGAATCTGTGTTTTTTTTGTTTTTTTTTTTTTTTTTTTTTTTTTTTTTTTTTTTTTTTTTTTTTTTTTTTTTTTTTGTGTTGGGAACGTTTATTTTGTAGTATATTTTATTTTATAGTGAACTAGAGACTGTGTGTCTAATTTTGACTTGTATCATCCTTACTAAAAAAAAAAAAAAAAAAAAAAAAAAAAACTCTTTTGCTCAAATTAATTTTTATTTTTTCATTTTATTTTTAATTCTTTAAGACAATAGATAGCTAGTATATAAATGGAATAATACAGTAGGTAAGTCTCATTATGTATACACACATTGAAGTAAAAATTTAAGTCTTATTTCTAAAAAATTTCCTTCCATTTCTGCTATATAATGTTTAAATTCATCCTAAGAAATTGATGTCAGTAAATCATCTAGTCTTCTTTTTCTTTTTCTTTTTTTCTTGTTTCTTTCATTTTTCTCAATATAATCAAATGTGGTGGGTTGCTTTTATTATTTTTATTCAATTTACTTATATTCTAAATGTGGGTGGCGGTTCTGCTATATGTATTTATTATTTATCTCCAATTAATACCTTCTCATATAATGATCCTAAAATACAACATAACCTCATATAATATATTAATTCCTCGAAAACAAAGTCACTCCTTAACAACATACCTTGCCTCTTTCGCTTAATTATTAATTTACATTTATTATATTTCACTGTTTAGTACTTTATGCATTATTACTAATGTGAACGCTAACGGAAACTGCGATATTAATGCTTAATCTAAGCACACCCACACGACTAGTTATAATATAGTCACAAATTATATAGATTATTTATAATCGCATACAAAAATAAATGAAAATCATTACTAAATTCAAAGTATCTATCGTACACTTGCGAACATGGACTTCAGCAAATGAATAATTGAAAAATACGGACCCAATCAAACATACACACATTGTTATGCTAATTTTTCAAGATAAAAGAAATAGGGAAATAAAGCAAACAAAAGAAAGAGCATAAAGAAAAGTTGAAAAAGCCCAACGACTAGAGCAAAAAAACGAATACATAAAAGCGACAATCCGATAAACAGAAAGACCTCCTGTTTTCTAATATACATGTAAAATATGGTTCACAACGATAAGCAAACGTACGAAGATAGCACTACCAAAACACAAGCCAACTCCCCACCCTCGCTATCAAAAGCACAGCCTATACGCTTGAATACCTCCATAATTCGTCAATTTCGCTTTTCGCAAACTCTTTGATTCGAGATTTTATCTTTTTGAAAGGTTGGTTGCAGATCGTTAATATTCTCTTCTATTCTGTCTTTACAATTTCACACCTTTCACTATTTCTTTTCTTCGATCCTCCTCTTCTCACGCCCAGCGAATTTCTCAATTAAACCTGGACTAATTCCACTGTTATTTATCAGATCTTATTTTGCTTCTACTAGATATCATCAAATCAAGCTGACTTATGGAAAATGACCCAACCCATTATCAAAGGGAAGAACGTTCATTACCCAACATGACTAATATATACCGCTAGTAATAAGACTCAATATACATTACTACTTATTTTTTATTATACAAAAATTTAACTAATAAACAATTACAATTTTATACAAAAGAACAAAAACAGCCACATTACTATAATTTTGAAGTATAAAACCTGTCAGAAAGTTCAAAAGAGAGCATACCAAAATATAATACTGTAGATCATACTGCAAACTCTATTTCATGCTAACCATAAAAAACAAAACATATTTGGCTACTCATGATCAAATTGTTAGATTTCGTAGTATTTCTTCACAAGATTCTGACATCTCTAATTACAATTATATTCCCGTCAATTTAAATAAATACCAACCAAAATCTGGATCACATAATCAAAATACGTTGTACTTATTTGCTAAATATTAAACGGTATCTTAAAAAACATAATATTAAAATGAGTAAATAAGTATACAATAATATTACAATTTAAGTAAACTATAAATTCTGTTATCCTTACTATTCAATTTAATAGATCACACTTTCTCATATAAATAACTATTAAATTTGAAGTATATATATTGAGTACATACTTAATAAATGATAAAAACAATAGTTAGAAAAAATTATTTACTTACTAACAATTTCACTTATAAATTACACTAAAACGTAAGATAATATAATTTTAATAAAACATAACACAACTTTCTCAAATGTAAGAATAAAGTACAATTTATGGAAAACATTTAAAGTATAATAATAAAAAAATTCATAAATGATAAAGATAATATATATATATATATATATATTTGAAAAGAATATTACAATCCTTGCCTCTTCCGCTTAATTATTATATTATTTTATATTTATGTTAGTTATGATTATTACCTAATCGTGAAAGCTAGGAATGCGATATTATGCTTAATTAAGCACACGCTATTAAAATTAGTCAAATTATATAATTATTTATAATGATAAAAATAATGAATCATTATTCAGTATTATCGTACCACATTGGAAACATGGACATTCAGATAATAATTGAAAAGCAAAACCATAATGTTTGCTAATTTTTCAAAGATAAGAAAAGAAAAAAGAAAAAAGAAAGAGAAAAAGAAAGTAAAAGCCCCACGAGAGCAAAGAATCATAAAAGGACAAATCCATACGAGATGTTTTTTATGTTAAATATGGTTAAGAAAGCAAAGTAGAAAACAAGATAGCCTACAACACAACGCAACGCTACGCAGCCCTACGCTTATCCTCTTTGTTTTCGCTTTCCATTTGATTCGAGATTTTATCTTTTTGAAAAGGTTGGTTGAGTCGTTTCATCTTTCTTCTGTCTTTTTCACTTTCACATCTCTTCTTCTTCGTCTTCTTCTTCGCCCACGGAATTTCTCAAAACTGACTAATTCCCTGTTTTTATCAGTTATTTTGCTTCACTCAGATATCATAAGCTGACTTTGGCATGCCCAATTTCAGGAAACCGTATACTGATATATATAGTGTATAGATCAATACATTTTTATTTTTTATATAAAATTTAATAATAAATTAATTATACAAGAAAAAAAAACACAATTTTATTTGAAGTATACTGTCGAGTTAACAGGGCATAAAATATATGTGTCATATGCAATTATTCATGCTACTTATTGGCTACTCATGATCATTGTTCGATTTCGTAGTATTTCTACAAGTTCGATTTAATCACTTTCCGTAATTAAATAAATACCACATCTGTCTCATAATACTTGTCTTATTTGAAATTTCACGTCTCTTAAAAAACCATTAAATTTGTCTAAGTTACAATAAATTATTAAGTAAATTAATTATGTTACCCTTACTTTAATTATAATTCTCTAAAAAAACTATTAATTTGAAGTAATAATTATTGGTCATATATAAATGATAAACATGAGAAAAAAATATTTATTACTCCTTAAAACCTCAAACGTAACAAATATTTTAAAACAAACCACTTTCTCAAATGTGATAAGTATTATGGAACATAGATAATAATAAAATATCATAATGATGACAAAACTAACCTATAAACTGAACTTTTAAAAAAAAAATAGAAACTTTAAAAATAACTAGATCTGAGAATAAAATTCAAAATATAGGCAATAATAATTCAGATTTATATCAAAAGACACAAATATGGAAATTATTCGAAAAAACACCATAGAAAAGGGTGACCACTAGTGACAATTCACTGGTGGCTGTCTATACAATAAGAAAATAAGGCTTTTAGATTTTAGAAGAAGAGAGAAAAACCTTTTTTTTTTTTTTTTCTCCATTCACCCTTAAACTTTAAATACCAGAGAACAATAAATAAATGAGAAAATAATAAATTAGTCTTTGAATTATAACCTATTAACAAATAAGGATATCTAATTTTAAAAACTTACTATGAAATTTTTAAATTATGATTTTATTGATATTTTATTCCTTCCGTCCAAACAGCATAACCAAAGTCTCAAAGTTAATCATAAATTTTTTCATTTTCACATTTATACTTGTATATTCGGCAATACCGAAACTTATCATTCCAATTAAGAAATTACCTAACAACAATCAAAATATTTTTTCTTTTTTAGCAATCGCACTAAGCCAACATGAGATTTGAAGCTTAATATGGCCAATATTTTATGTAGAAAAGGAAAATTTCAGTTCTTTTCTCATCCCAAGTAGAATTACTCAAGTGGTCTGAGAAAAAGGAATGGCCAACCCAAATTATTTCAGTCATGCAAAAAATGACCATCCATGTTACAACAGGAGATTACCAAAAGGAAAGTATACCTTTATTATGATTTGAATTTAAAATGGTCGACTATATAAATTTACCTGTGAACTCTGCAACTCTTATGATATTTTGAATTTTACAAATGTCCTAGTAATATTATACACTTTTCCACATTGATATTAATAATATTTAATATTTTTACTTTTTATTTGTAAAATATTAACTTGATATGTAATTAACATGATTTTTAAAATAACAATTTTCATAAATTTTAAATTTTTTAATAAGTGATTAATTGATATAATTTTACAAATTCAAAATGTTCAGTAAAATATTTTTAAAAATTAAAGTGTTTAATATATATCATTTTATAAATTAAAATATTTGGTAAGTCAAAATAAAAATTAAAAGTGTCAGTAAAATTAAATTGAAAAATTACAGAGGTAAATTTATACGTGTGATGGATTTAAAATCTTTTTATACATGTGATGGATTTAAAATCTTACACCAACTCAATCAACCAAGCAGCCAATTCAATGATAAAAATTAATGTATTATTTACTAAAATAATTAAATATTAATACTTAGTACCATATTTGTCTAGAAAGAATTAGATTCTTCTAGTAAACAACTAAACCTTTCATCGTGGCCGTACGTTTCTGTCTGAACAAAGCCTCGTCATCAACCAAATATTGACGAAATATCAATGCTCCTGCAGCCAACATCCATCGCTTATCCATATGCCAAGTGGAAAATCTTTTCCCATGTATTTATGACATCAGCACTCACACAATCCGCTTTTCTTCCCGCCCACGACATTACCTCATTTTCCCACTTTTCTTTCTCTGTTCAGTTCTTTATATTCTCTGTGAATCTGTACTTCACTCCTTAATTTCTCTCACAAAATACTTTTATTAAAAAAATAAATAAATTCTACTTGAGTTTCACTGCAGAAATGGAAGGCAACCAACTTATTCTCAGCCGTCCAATCATCCATCAAAGTATCAGATGGTTCCACATCTTCATCCTCTCGCTTGTTTACTGTTCCGCTAATGCACAGCAGAGCACCGGATCACGAGACACCTACCGGTTGTACTCAAATTTCGATCCAACAATAGCAATTATCGTACTCATTCTAATTTGCGCTTTCTTCTTCATCGGAATCTTCTCCATCTTTCTCCGTCAGTGCACGGATACCACCGAATTTCAGACCGTCATCACCGGAAGACTACATAGGGCTGGGCTTGATCCATCTGTGATCGAGAAGTTTCCCGTCTTCGTTTACTCTGAAGTGAAAAATATCAAAATCGGAAGAGAGACGCTAGAATGCGCTGTTTGTTTGAGTGAATTTGAAGATGATGAAACTCTTCGTTTATTACCTAAATGCAATCACGTTTTCCATCCTGAATGTATCGACGAGTGGTTATCTTCTCATGTCACTTGCCCGGTTTGCCGTGCTGAGCTCACACCAGATTGTGGCGAAACTCAGAAAAATTCATCGCAACAAACAACAACAACAGAGCCGAATCAACAATTCTCTGCATCTAATCTCACTGAAACAACTAATGAAATCTCAATTTCTGTTAACGAAGAGCAAAATAGAGATTCACAGCCACGCGTGAACAAAAATCGGCCACCGAGATCGGGAATATCAGGGAAGTTTCCGAGATCGCATTCAACAGGACATTCACTGGTTCAAGCAGGAGAGAATATCGAAAGGTATACGCTGAGATTGCCAGAGGAGTTGAGAACGCACATGCTGGCGAGTGCGAAACTGAAACGTGCTATTAGTTTTAACGTGATTTTAGCAACAGAAGGGAGTTCGAGGAAAGGATATAGAAGTGGCGGTGAAGATAGCAATAGAGGAAAGCAGATCAGCCGGTCGGATCTGTGGGGACTTCTAATGAATACGCCGTTTGTTTCAAGAGGCGGTTCAGTTAAAGCATCTAAGACTGATAACGACGGAGATTCAGTAAACGGTAGGAACTTGTTTGCGTCGGTCAAAAAACCGTTGAATTGCTTGAATGCGAAAGTGGAGGGAGGAGGAGAACCGCCAAGTCGGAGTCGACCTGTCGTTTGACGTAATTTTATTAATTTATTGGTTTATTTATTTATTTAATTTAATAATTAAGCTCGATTTGAAGTGGAGGAAAGGGAAACATGGTGAATCCATTAAAAGCATGCAGTGAAGGTAGAGGTGTCAAGTAGGAATAGAGCTGTGGAATGCTAGGCCTGGACAGAACGACAATGAAGAGAGGTGAGTCACATTTTTTTGGGAAGAAATTGAGTTGAACTGATGGACCAAAACTGCACATAGGCAGAAGTCCTCGGATGCCTCATGCTTCCAAGAAGGTGAATTGGCATTACTAGTTTGGTGAGACTTAGTTGCAAGTTGTTGTAAGTTGTAAATTACTAGTATAACTTTTCTTTTTCCAATAATCTTTTTAACTAGAAATCAATATTTAAAAAAAAAAAAAAAATTGCTCTCATGTTTTCTTGCGAATATTAGACCTTTAGCTATGTTAGCGAATTTTTCTTCTTTGGTACATTAAGAGAAGATTAAAAAAAACTAACTAAAGATAACCTGGGTGTGTCCAACTCTGGATGCTTTTTATTTTGAGGATCAAAAGAAATCTGAATTTAAAAAGAAAAAGCAAATTTGAAAAATCAACTTCAAAACTTTCCTTGCAGTTTCATTTATGGATCAAATAAATAATTAAAAAGTGTTTTAATTTTCTTTTTCTTTATGTGTATTATTAAAAATACTTCAATCTCAATAAAAATTTTTTATTTTAATTGATTTAATCCATTAACAGAACCATAAATATAGCTTAGATAAGTTTTTTCCAAATATACCAGAGGATTCGAACACAATAGTAGGATTATGAACTACATGGACCATGACTCAACCGAGTGGCTTGATTAGTTAACTCATCAGCAATGCTGGTGGCGTCCCCATAAATGTTGTTAAGAGAAGCATTGCCAACTTCTCTCCAATAACGCTGAGGTCAGATTCTTGTACCCCAACCAAGAAACAATAACAATAGCAACCGCCATGCCTAATATATAAAACACTAAATTATAACTTCAATGTCTTACATGTCTTTGTAATTCCTCTAATTCAACCAGTAATTTTAATTAACTGCTGCATTGTGTAAAAGAATTCAAAATTAGAATAACGCAATCAATGAAAAAGAAATATTATATATAATAAAGGCTTAATTGTATTATAGACTTTCAGAATTTCACTTTTTTTTTATTTTACTGTCAAATTTATTCTAATTTTGATCTTTTGTCACAGTAACACCCTTACTTATACTCAAGGATGGAATTGTAAATAAAAAAGTGTTACTAGCCTTTTCTTTTAGTTTAGTATCTTATTATTGAATAAATAAAAAAATTAATAATAAAATAAAATTTCAAATTCATTTTGAATATTAAATTATATTCCTATTTAGTAGGTGATATATTTATAGATTAAAAAAATATAATATTTAAGAAGTTTTTTTTTTTTAATCAATCTGAAAAATATAAGAATTAAGTTTTTTATCCATAACATATAGATAATAAAAAACAAAGTATGTAATTGAAAAAATAATATTAATTAATTTAATTTTTACTTCATGCTTTAAAATTTACAAAACTCCATGATAAATAACTTTGCATAAGATTTTGTAATCTATTAACGTTATTTTGCAATTAAATTAATTTTGTATTTTAAGAATTTTCAAATCATTCCAAAAGTAGAATTTATAAAAATATTAGAAAACTAACATATATACCAATAAATTTTTAAGGAAACATTGAAATTACGTGATTTTTAATAAATTAATTATCTATAATTAATTTAATCCAACATGTAACGTGTAATTTAACTATTGAATTACATATAACGTTCAAAACATAAATAATTTAATCAATATATAATAATTACAATAAACAATAAAAAATTAAAAATAAAATATGTGAATTTTATAAATGAGTGTAAACAAATTATGTATAGCTACGTGTAACTTCAAAATCTTTTCATAGATGGATTATTCCTTCCAATAATAATACATAAGTCACTTTCTTAACCTAGTGACACCATGACAAGATAAAAAAGTTTTATAATCAAAAGCATTCTAGCTACTTAATTTGAAATAATATAAGTTCTCTTTATCTACTTTATTTGGAACTAATATAAGTTCTTCTTTATATTATATAATATATATTATAGTATTATATATATATATTATATAATATGCTAATTATTAGGGTGAGTCTTTGGGGTAAGGACTTATGTTTTAATAAAAATAAAACCAATTTAATTTTTTATATATATGCTCAATTATTAGGGTGAGTCTTGTAAGGACTTAATGTTATTAATAACAAATAAAACCAATTAATTTTTTTTTTTCGAAAGGAAATAAAATTAATCAAGTTAGGTAAGAAACCCTAATAATTTTTTAAATTTTTTTTTTTAAAAAAAATGTCTACATCTTATTGCTAATTTTCTAACCCACTATAATGATTGTAAATTTATCTTTATTAATCTTTTATTTTACCTTCAAATCCTCTTTTTATTTAATTTATTTTACTACTAAAAGAATATATATCCATGTAAAACTGCCGACACTTATTCTATGACCATCAAATCAATCACAATAGATATTTTTGAGAATTTTTATTTATTTATTTTTTTTTTTGCGTTAGACATATTTAGACTCTATCTATAACCTTATATAAAAACCAAACCAACAAGACTTTATCTGTTTTTTTTTTATTTCTTTCTAGTATATGATAAAAAATAATTTCATTTCAATAGAAAAATTATTTTTCATTGATTTGGTCTATAAATTAGTCCATAGATCGAGTTTAGATAAATCAATCTTATTTTTTTCCAACAAAATATCAGAAATATCACCGTTTAAAAAAAATAATATTTTTCTCTCATTTATTCCATTGGTGGCCCTAGGAGTGGGTTTTAGTTCCAAAAAATCTGAAACCGGAACCAAACCATAAAGTGACAGTTTCAATTATGGTTTCTTAATAGGTCCAAAACCAACGGTTCCAGCCGGTCTTTCGACTGATTTTTCGGTGAATCTTATAATTATAAAATAAAAAATTAGGGAACATTTTTTTTTTGAAAATTTAAAATTAAAGATTTATGAAATAATTTTAGAAAAAAAGTTTAATAAAAAATTAAAAAAAATACTTGAACTTAATTTATTTTTTTAAATGAAAATGGGTATTTATACTAAATCCAAAAAATCAACTTTCCACAGGTGCCCTTAAAATTAGCCGTTATATATTTGTTAGAAAAGTTAATTTAGAGATTTCACAAAAATATTAAAAAAATAAAAAATAATTGTTGGAATTGGGTTGAACCGCCGGTTTTAACAAGTTGAAAAAAACGTCGATTCTGACTGATTCTTAGAACTACTGGTTCACGGTTCACAAAAGTTGGAACTAAAACCGAACCGCAGACCCTCGATTTCAATTTAGGTTCGGACCAATTGTGATACCTACTGGTTCCGAAAACCGTGAAATAGTCACCTCTAGGTGGCCTCATATACCAAGTCTAAGTAAGTCATTATTAGATATCTCATTTAATAATTGCATACGAGATCGATATCTTTAGAATAGGGAGTAATTATATTTAAAGATTTCTCTAAGACGTTGGTTCCACCGCTTAATCTTATGATGACAATGTAAATCTAGTGCAATTAACCGGTAGACCCACTTATCTTGTGTCATCCTCTTTAATTCCAAGCTAGCCATAGTTAGAGATTACTAAAGGTTTTCTTGAATTTGAAGCTATAGATACTGTTTCCAGATGATGTAACATGTTAGTAGCAAAAGCATTTCCTCCCCTTGAATTTGAAACGTTGTGACCATTAAAAGGATGCTGGAATATCCTAATAGTCAAATATGGTGGCTCATTCATCACCAGCATCAGCTTTTCTCTTCTGCAACTGGTAGGAACTTGTTGGTCCACGTCCTGTAGCTCTGCAATAAAGGTTCTTTCTCCTTTAATATCAAACTATCAAGTCAAGACTTAAAAGCATTTCAACCGCCAAGTATCACGTGTTTCACCAGGTTAAGCAATCAAAAGCTTACAGCATAAAGTGTTGAATGAATCTGTTGATATCTTATTCAATGATCAATGCTTCAAGACTTGAAGCCTAGCAAGCAACCATATATATATATATATATATATATTTCTGGGATTTGTTTATATTTTTTTTATTTAGCAGTAAGTGATATCTGAGGTAAACTATTTATTAGTGTGAAAGCATCAATATGTTTGGTTCAATCTGAGTCAAAAATAGTCAAACTTGAATTATTCGATCCTTTTTTTCTATGATGAAAGTGAAATTCATAGAAATTTTTGAAGCAATCATATTAAATTGAATCAAATTAATTTGGTATGATTTGATTTAATTTTTTTTTTAATATTGTGATTTAACTTAAAGTTTGTCTTTTTAATCTAAAAAACAATATGTAAAAAATATTTCAGTTTTTATTAGGTTGAGTTGGATTGTTTCATTTTATTCAATTTTGATTTATTTTTCAAATTTTCTATAAAAAATCAAATCAAAAGGAAATAATTGAAAATTTGGAATTTATAAATCAAATTAAATCGACTAGTGCTCATCTATAGGTTGTAGCTCAGTTGACAATGTAAGCTGGGCATGTGGAAAGAGCTTTCGGATTTGGTCTCTACTAAACATATCTGTAGAAAAGAACGAAGAGCCTTAATTGTAAATATGTCCAAAGTTGGATTAAACGATCCTTAGTATTAAGATCCGAATACCAGTAATTTACACGAACAAAACATCAATTAGTGCTCACCCATTACACCGAGACTAGAAAATTTACAAATATAAAATGCTTGTGATTTTTTAAAAAATAAAAATCCTAGAATAACTAACATACAGGCACTAAAAAGTTTCATAATGGTGTTTCATATTTGAAAATAGATAGAACAGAGACTCACATAAGGTTTATTTTTTATTTTGAAGATCAAAGAGACCATTTTATTAACTTTGTTGAGGGGATAAAAAACTTTCATGTTATATGATCCGACTAGATTAAATCTTCTGGTTATACAAAAAAAAAAAAAAAAAAACCATGTTATATGATCCGACTAGAATTAAATTCTTCTGGTTATACAAAAAAAAAAAAAAAAAAAAAAAAAAAAAAGAGAGAGAGAGAGAGAGAGAGAGAGAATACTTCATTAACTTTGATAAAAGGAAAACAAACAAGAGAGAATGGAATTCCAAACAAAGAGACCAACACGATGGTAAGAAGCTTTAGCTTATTTACGAATCCAACAAACAAAAATGTCATTTCTACCATGAAAATCAAACTTACAATCCTCGATTATTTTACTAAAGTCTGAACGATCAATTAAGGAAGAGTAAATAGTATAAACTAAAGTTTGTGAGTCTGAGAAAATAAATCCACGATGAAGCATATTATTTGCAGCCCAAAGAAAAGTAGAACGCATTGCCATGGCTTCAACCAAATCAGTTCCACCAAATAAATGAAAAATGCTTTTTGTTGCCTTGAGAAAAATACCTTCTTGACTCTCAAAAATAGCCTCAAATTTGGTAAATTCATTTCAATTGTAACCTATAAAAAAAATTTTATTTTGGAAACTGTTAGTTAACTTTTGAAAATAATAAATAAAATGTGATAACTCACATTAAGGAGTGATAGGATAATAGTATCAACTATAAATTAAATAGAAAGTGGTTTTACAATGCAATAATAAATAATTTGTGCCTTTTAATTATAGAAATAACAACGACGGTTCAATAATTAAATATATATATATTCAAGGAGTATTTTTTTTTATACATAAGAAGAAGAAAACTGAGGACTACACCATATAGAGAAAGCTATACGAGCAATATTATGAGAAAATCAAGGAAGAACACCATAGGACGCCGGTCAAGAATCTGAAGACCGAAACCAGTAGAAGAAGCAAATGTTGCTAGCTAGCCCGCACTGAAATATGAGTAATCGAAAAAACGGAATCAAATTGGTGTTAGGCCTAAAAGGGACCCTTAGAAGAGTGATTGGATTTCTACCTTAGAGTTAGAACTATTGAGCCTGCTTCTCTTTCCCATGAACATAGCCTTAGGCCTATGACGTGAGCACAAACCCAACTATAATTGGGACCCAGCCCAACCAAAAGGTTTTATTAAACTGCTTGTTTCCTTTTTTTTTTTTTTTACAACTAAGAGTGTAATCCCTTATGGATTTTTTATTCCTGCCAGTAAAATGTGTTTCTATATATGATACGAATATTATTATTTTTAAAACCCTTGACTCTATAGATCGCAAACATTTTATATCCTTCCAATAATGAATTTTTAAAAAATCAAACTTATAGTTTCACCTTTATAGAAATTGAGATGATTTAAATTTATCGACCAACTGACATATCATCTTGCAAATAGGATACAGTCCATATAAATATGAGGTACTAGCAGATATTTTTTTTTTAAATGTTCTAATAAATACTTGAGTGAGATGGTTTGTCCTATTCATGGCATTAGATTATATTTAGATTATATGTAGATTGATAACAAAATATGGAGACTTGGCCGACAAAAACCAAACTGCGGAATGGACCCACAGGCAGCTAGGTTGAGTTATTGTCATTATCACTAATTAATAAACAATAATCATTCATTTGGTTGATTAAATTAGATTAGCTTCTTTTGCTGTCACAATTATGTATGTACAACTTTTTCTAATCTTGGAACAGACTTTTAATTTCTCTCTCTCTTTCTCCTTTTAAAAAAATAATTCTCTCTTTTTTTTATACCTTTTCATGTTTTTTACTTTTTATACATCAATCTAACCGTTAAAAAATAATTTCATGATTGAATTAGAGAAAGACTAAATAAATAAAAAATCTCTTTTGAAAAATCGATGCTTCTTGATTATGCTTTAACTAATCATCTCTTAGGATTTATTACAAATCATAAGACTTTGAGGGATTATGAAGATTCAAACTTTTCTTTTCTTAATTACTTACTATTAATTTATAATATAGTTACTCCTAGAAAGTCTTAAATCTTGAGGAAGAAGAGATTATCACCAACCCTTTTATTAGTTTTTGAAAAATGTTTAGTTTATAAAGGAAAATAAATAATAAATAAAATTATAACCATATCAATAGAACTCTCACTATAGGTTGTCAGACAAAGAAACTCAATCATCCTTAAACTATTATTATATCTTTTTATTCATAAATGTATATTGTATTAAATCATGTTACATGTATACATATAAGAAACTCAATAATCCTTAAACTATTATTATTTTCTTTTTATTCATAAATGTATATTGTATATAAATCATGTTTACATGTTAATACATATTAATTGTTAGTTAAACTTACTAATTATTTCAACTATCATTAATATAAGGTTTATGTTCTTTTTTTAATATTTATCTCAATTACAAATTTTCAGTGACATCAATTTTCCACATTCTATAAAAATTTAAAATCTGCTCTCAAGTGGAATTTAAATATGAGTTCCTCAGAGTTACTTATATATAATGTTAAAAATTAAACGCTAAAATTCGATATTATTAAAAAATCAAACCTAATCAAAATATTTATCGGATTAATTATTAATTATTTACACTATTCAACCCAAATTCAAACACAGATTATAAACAAGTTTGGAAACAATATTTGCTACTACGCCACAATATTCTTTTTGAGATAAAATTTGTTTTCCTATATTATTTTTTGCCTCTCCTTATAACTAATGGCCCTACAAATCACCAAAACCAATAAATTCAAAATTAATTAAGGCAAACAGTTCAAAATTAAATCCCACAGGTGAAAGCCCCGCCGCCTCCACTCCCCCCAAACTTCGTATTTCCTTGTACTTATCATCTTCATCTCTTTTTTCTGTGTAAATCACCTTCTCTCAATCCTTTTCTTCTTAATTTGCCTTCATGGGCGCATAAACAACTCTAAGTTTAGACTAGTAGGACTTAATCAAAGACAAGCTTCTCAGAGCAAAGCAGCATAATTTCAAAACCGCAAGATTTCTCTCTTCAATTAGCCCTTCCTTAGAGCCACAACTCATGATACCTTTACACTCCAATCCAAAACACATAAGCACTTATGCTTTTCCCTTATGGAATAGCTCACGCGCATCGCTTCCCCGCCTCGAGCCGCTTATGGACCGGGCTGAGTCTACCCACGACTCATCTGTAGCTTATCAAGTGTCTTAGAATTGTCCATCATATAATCAAGCATGGTAGTTTTTATTCTCCAGGATCAGCTTTCTGTGTTTCCTTTTTTTTTTTTTTTACGAACTAAAGTGTAATCCTTATGGATTTTTATTCCTGCCAGTAAATGTTGTTTCTATATATGATTCTACGAATATTTATTATTTTTAAAACCCTTGAACTCTATAGATCGCAGAACATTCTTATATCTTCAATATGAAATTTTTTAAAAAGAATCAAACTTATAGTTTCACTTTATGAGAAATTGAGAATGATTTAAATTTATCGACCAACTGGACATACATACATCTTGCAAATAGGATACAGTCCATATAATACTGAGGTCTAGCAGATATTTTTTATTTTAAATGTTCTAATAAATACTTGAGTGAGATGGTTTGTCCCTATTCATGGGCAATTAGATTATATTTAGATTTATACTGTGATCTGTAACAAAATTATGGAGACTTTGGGTTCCGACCAAAAACCAAACTGCCGGAATGGGACCCACAGGCAGCTAGGTTTGGTTAATTGTCATTATCACTAATTATAACAAATAATTCATTCTTTGGTTGATTTAAACTTAGATTAGCTTTCTTTTGCTGTCACAATTATGTATGTCTACAATTTTCTAATCTTGGAAACAGACTTTTATTTTCTTCTCTCTTTCCCTCTTTTAAAATAATAATTCTCTCTTTTTCTATACTCTTTTCATGTGTTTTTTACTTTTTATACATTCAATCTAAACCCGTTAAAAAATAATTTTCATGATTTGAATTCGAGAAGATAAATAATAAAAAATCTTCTTTTGAAAAAATCGATGTTCTTCTTGATTATGCTTTTAACTAATCATCTCTTAGGCCGGTGGTGGGTGGGTGCAAATCATAAGACTTTGAGGGTATTATGAAGATTCAAATATTTTCTTTTTCTTAATTAATTACTATTATTTATAATTATATGTTACTCCTTAGAAGTCTTAAATCTTGAGGTTTAACGAAGAGATTATCACCAAAAGCCTTTTTATTTAGTTTTTTGAAAATAATGTTTAGTTTATAAAGGTTATCACCAACCCTTTTATTAGTTTTTGAAAAATGTTTAGTTTATAAAGGAAAATAAATAATAAATAAAATTATAACCATATCAATAGAACTCTCACTATAGGTTGTCAGACAAAGAAACTCAATCATCCTTAAACTATTATTATATCTTTTTATTCATAAATGTATATTGTATTAAATCATGTTACATGTATACATATAATTGTTAGTTAACTTACTATTTTTAAACTATCATAAATATAATGTTTATGTTCTTTTTTTAATATTTATCTCAATTACAAATTCAGGACATCAATTTCCACATCTATAAAAATTAAATCTGCTCTCAAGGAAATTTAAATATGAGTTCCTCAGAGTTAACTTATATATATGTTCAAAAATTACCGCTAAAATTCGATATTATTAAAAATCAAAACCTAATCAAATATCTATCGATTAATTATTAATTATTATACTATTCAACCCAAATTCAAAACACAGATTAATAAAACAAGTTTGGAAAAAATATTTGCTCACTAAGCCCCACATATCTTTTTGAGATAAAATTTGTTTCCTATATTATTTTTTGCTCTCCTTATCACTATGCCCTACAAATACCAAAACCAATAAATTCAAAATTAATAAGGCAAACCAGTAAAATTAATCCCACAAGTGACAAGCCCCTTTCCTTGTATTATCATCTTCATCTCTTTTTTCTGTGTAAATCACCTTCTCCAATCCTTTTCCTCTCTAATTTGCCTTCATGGGACGCATAACAAATCTAAGAGACCTAGTAGGCTTAATCAAAGACAAAGCTTCTCAGAGCAAAGCAGCCATAATTTCAAAACCCAAGAATTTCTCTCTTCAATTAGCCCTTCTTAGAGCCACAACTCATGATCCCTTTACACCTCCAAATCCAAAACACATAACCACTATGCTTTCTTATGGCCATAGCTCACGCGCCATCGCTTCCCCCGCCATCGAAGCCCTTATGGACCGGCTGCAGTCTACCCACGACTCATCTGTAGCTATCAAGTGTCTTACAATTGTCCATCATATAATCAAGCATGGTAGTTTTATTCTCCAGGATCAGCTTTCTGTGTATCCTTCTACAGGCGGTAGAAACTACCTCAAATTATCAAGCTTTAGAGATACTACAACACCCATAACATGGGAATTGTCTTCTTGGGTTAGATGGTACCATAACAAACTCTTCATGTTTTTTCTTTTCTTTTTCCTTTTCTGTTAATTGAGCTAAAATTCGCAGTACAAGGATTACAACGACTAAGTTATAATCTCAAACTAGTTGGATCGTTTATATGAAATTCATTTGTTTCGATTCTGATATATTTAAAGCTTAAATTGGAAATATCATATATATATTTTTTGGTTAATTTTGGAAATTTCAGGTATGCCAGATACCTTGAGCATCTCTTATCAACCTCTAGAGTACTGGGTTTCTTTCTATGTTCAACTTCAAACACAGCAGAGAAAGATAAAGAAGAAGAGAAAGTTTCAGCACTTACAAATCCTCACCTTCTCAAAGAGATAGATTCCTTAGCAAATTTAATGGAAGAAACATGCAAAAGACCCGATTCTTTGCATCTGCATGGCAATGGCTTAGTTGACCAGGTCATCAACTTGGTAAGTGACGATTATTTGTCGTCTATAAATGAAATCGCTATAAGGATTGACGAGTTTAACCAAAGACTGAGTTGCTTGAGTTTTGGTGACTCGGTCGAGTTGGTATGCGTTTTAAAAAGACTAGAGAATTGTAAAGAAAGACTACTGGCTTTGTTTGGTAGGAAGAAAGCATTGGTCGAAATTGTTTGGTGTTTGATAAGTGAAATGAAGGAAAAGGTAGGGAATACAGAAGATGGGAGATTGTCGCTTGCCATCGGAGGGAAAGAGAGTGAAAGTGAGTCAGCTCGGTTTGGAGAACGAGTTCTGAGTTTTGGGGCGTCAGTTAAGTTTTCTTCTGGGAGATTTTGATTGGCAATTGTAGAATCACTTGGATAATGCGCAGGATGAAAATCACTTGGATTAAACTTACTTTTTTTTTTTTTTTTTAAATCACTATGATTAAGACTTACTTTTTTTTTTTTTTTTTAGTATATTTTTAAACTTACAGTTAGTATTAGTGATTTTATGACATTTTGCACATATTTATTATTAATTTTTTAGTTATTCTTGGATGGGTTGTCTTTTTAATTTTGGGATTTAACCCTTTTCCTTTCATGATACAAAGAATATATGTAACATCTGCAATGTAAACGTCTTTTAATTACTCTAAATTATAATAAAGTCAATAATAATTTGATTAAATTAGCATTTATTTCACATTATTATATTAAGGATAAAATTGAAAAATAATTATATATTATTCCTTAAATTATTAGTTTGATCCCTTCTTTTGTAAATTCCAACTTCGCCCCTAGTTAGATGTAGCTGGTTGATTGAATTAGCAGTGGACATAATCTATTTTTGGGGTTATAAGACCTGTGGGGAAAGGATCGGAACTTAAAAAACGACAGTTATATATATTTTATATAGAAAAAGGAAATTAAACAATAGTCACCGACTCGTTGGCGTTGCGCCTCCTTACAACAGTTCACCTACCTTGAAAGAAACATTTGACAAAATTATTATTATTATTATTATTTCATATTAATTTAACAAAGTAAAACAATCTCAACATCATTCGTACGCAACAACTTTTTTTTATCCTCTGATTTGTACACATCATGTGCACTTACAATATTTTGGTATTCCTAATAATATTCAATCTCACATTTCTACCAAATACATAGTTCTTTTTTTTTCTTTTTGAACTATCAGTTTTTTAAGAGCTTTTATAAAAAAGTACGAAAAGGAATGGATGATTCATTTCTTTAATTTTAGTAGCGCTGGCTTCCTAATTGAAGAGTTTGACGTGGCGAAAATATGATTAAATTCAACAAAATAAACTGACAACACCTTAGTCTAACATTACAAATTAAAAAGTTCTAATTTCATTGGAAACTAACCTCTTTTAAACTAACTAATAATAGCGTTAGTATCCGCGTGATGCGTGGAGCAGCATTAAAAGATAAAATAATTTTTTATAGCATCATTTAAAAATAATAAAAAATTACATAATAAAATGATCATGAAATGCATTACAAATACTGAATTCATTTAATGACACGATTATAAATTAGGTACCTAAATCCGTTTTGAAATTCACCTTTAATAACCGAACCTATCCTGAACCCATTTAAATACTTGTTTATATTAAAATATTGTTGGTTTTTCAAAAATAAAAAATAAGTAAATTTTGTAAAATTATTATTTTGATCTAATAAAAAAATATAATATAAATATTAAATATAATTATAACATTAATAAATTATTATTTGATCTAATAAAAGAAATAATATAAATATTAAATATAATTTAACTTTTAATTATAATTAAAAAGGTGTATATATATATATATTATCTCTATATAATTTTTTTTTAGAGAGTTGTCTGTAATTATTATGAGATATTAATTTAACGGGTAACGGAAAGGTACTTGTCGGGAAAATAAGTATATATATAATTTTTTTTAGAAGAATAATTATTTTAAATATTTTTGAATATTAATTAAACGGGTAACAGGTACCTAAGTTCTTGAACTAGATCCGAACTCGATACAGGTAATAAAAATACTATTCGAACCGTCTCAAACCCATTTATTCACTACCTAAATCCACTAAAATCATATTGAATCTGATTGGGCACCCGTCGAGTCGGGTAAAATTTCCATCCCTAATTAAGATATATTTTCTTAAGTATCCGCTGAAGCCTTTCACTAACAATAAAAAAAGTCATGCATGATATGTCATATATCAAAGAATGCATACATATTATTAATGTATTTTTCAACAGTAATAATAATTTTGATAATTTAACTAATTATATTGAAATAAAAATTAAGTATTTTTTAATTTTTACATTTATGATTTATTATAAATGATTATTTATTTATTTGAAATATTGACTTATTATTTATTTAGCGTAGTGTGTCTTATGCATGTAAACGTCCTACTTGTTTAAAAATTATTATATCATGTACATTCTCATATCTCTTATCCCTTGTCCGTGCAACTTAACTCCTGATATATGAGACTACTTCATACATCAAGCTAATAAACCAAGATTTTTTTTTAATTACCAATAAAATGAAGTGTTTTTTTATTTATTTCTATGTCATTGAAATAAGGAATTAATTTTTTTATTTTATGTTTATAATTTATGACAAATGATTGTTTATTTATTTGTAATATTAATGTATTATTTATTTAGTATAGTGTGTCCTAAGTGTGTAGATGTCTTATTTTTTAAAAAATTATTGTATCTCGTATGTTTTCGTATATCGTTTCTCGTGTCCATACAACCTAACTCCTAGCATACAAGATTATTCCATAAATCAAGCTAATCAGCCAAAGTTTTTTTTTTTTAATTACTAATTAAAAATGAAGTGTTTTTTTTATTTGTTTTTGTGTCATCAAAATAAAAAGTTTATGTTTATAATTTATTATAAATGATTATATATTTATTTAAAATATTAATGTATTGCTTATTTAGGATAGTGTGTTTAAAGCATGTGAATGTCCTACTTTTCAAAAACTATCGTATCTTTATGTTCCAATTTATATTTTTAAATTACTTATATATATTTATTTAATAGTAATATATTATTTATTCACACTTTTTAATCATATAGATTACTTATTAATTGTTTTGTAATGAGAAATAAATTTATATTAATATTTTAATATATTAATGCTAAAGATAATCTTATTACAACTTATCTTCTTACAATTATATATTATCTTCTTACAATTGTACCTACTCTCACTACACGTGGTAATTTCAGATACTTAAATTTGACTGTCATCTAGGGTAAACTTCTCTACTTTTATATATTATATAGATTTTAAGAAATATCCAAAAAAAATTCAAATAAACCAAATAATAATAATAATAAAGTCATGGTGAGGTCAATCCAGCCCAAATTACTGCTTTCAAATAATTAATTGTTCAATAATAAAAGCCCACAAAATGTATAGTAATTAATTTATAAAAAGTGGTTCAAATGGTAAAATATGTTTGAAATCAGCAGACGATATAGTAATTAATTTATAAAAAGTGGTTCAAATGGTAAAATATGTTTGAAATCAGCAGACGATATAGTAATTAATTTATAAAAAGTGGTTCAAATGGTAAAATATGTTTGAAATCAGCAGACGATATAGTAATTAATTTATAAAAAGTGGTTCAAATGGTAAAATATGTTTGAAATCAGCAGACGATATAGTAATTAATTTATAAAAAGTGGTTCAAATGGTAAAATATGTTTGAAATCAGCAGACGATATAGTAATTAATTTATAAAAAGTGGTTCAAATGGTAAAATATGTTTGAAATCAGCAGACGATCTCTATAAAAATAAGAATATGACCTGTGAAAATTTGCTTATAAAAATGAATCAAGATAAAAAATGATAGAAAAATTAATCATGGACAAGTAAGAAAAAAAGAATAATAACCATTACCACAAATTGCATTTCATTGGAGATTATTGCATGTCACAGGAATTAAATCAATTTTAACATGCAGCCATTAGGAGAGAGAGACCACTTAGTAATAAACACCGATCCCCAAATCTCACTTTACTTCTGCCCATTTCTTTACATGCATACTTGCTTTCTCTGCCTGCAAATATATCATATCCCACATGAATATTTCTTAAATTAGGACATATTAATTAAAATTGTGTTTTTTTCTTCAAAAAAATAAAAAAATAAATAAAACTGTGCTTTTACAGAAGTAACCATATGACAAGTGTATAATTACCTCCTTGTCCCAATCACATCTAATGGTAATTGCTGCCAATATCAATGTCTGAATTGCTGTTCCACCAAATATCATTCCAGCCCAGATTCCCTATTTTGTGTTAATTTTCAAGTTAGTTTGATACTTTTTAATATCTATACAAATATAAAATAACCTATCACCTAGGTTATAATTTACGAATGAGTTAAGCCTCTAGCTCAGCTCATTTATCATTTATAGTTTAAAAAAAATTATCTTTTCACAAGTTCAAATTCAAAATTGAGCTTGATTCTTTAAACTTATTGAACAAGTTTAAGTAAATTTTTCTTGAGCCGAGCATTGAATAATTCATAAAGGATATAGCTCTTTTATAATCCGACACTTACCAAAACTCCCAAGTGAAATATCCAACCCATCAAGAATCCAAGAGGAACCCCAATCAAATAGTAGCAGCCTAAGTTTATGTATGCCACATACTTTTGCCATCCAGATCCCACAGCCACCCCTACCAAAAAGAGAAGAATAATTACTCTTGAACAATTTAACCAAATTTATAATTAAAAAATAAAGCTTACCCTCATTAATGGAAAAGATAAATATTAGTATATAATAAGATGTTTGAGAAAAAGAGTACCTGAAAGAATTGGCTGGACGCTGTTGAGCAGAACAGTGAAGGCCAAAAGAATAGAGAGGTTGTTTACTGCTTGAAGAACAGGTTGACTTGAAGAGAATATCCAAGCTAATTTATCATGGAATATCATTATTAATACCCAGAAGAATATTCCAATTATAACTGATGTAACTACTGATACTGTTGTTGCAAACTTGGCTCCTTTCCCATTACCAGCTCCAAGCTCATTTGCAACCCTTACTCTGCATTATTTATTACAATATAAAAAATTAATTCCTTTTTCCAATTTTTTAAAAGTATGGCTGGGAAAAAAAATACTACAGATTAATTTTCACATAATAGATTATGTTATTAATTTTGTGAATATTAAAGTTTCGAACATAATAATTAATGAAATTATACACATATTAATGGTAATGCAATATTAGAGATATATATTATCATTTTAAAAAATCTAAACAGCATAATCCCATCAATGACGAAACTTCCCTTAAAAATATTAAAATTAGATTTTGAGTTTGATTTTAGGTTTAGGTGATTTAAGGTTTAATTTTTAGAGTCTTAATTAGAGTTTTAGGATTTTAGGGTTGATGATGGAGTGTTATTTTAAGATGTAATTTATTATTTTTTAATTGATCCATCAGATTCTTGTCATGTAGACAAAATATTTCAAAATAACGATGATTAGAAAAAAAAATACAATTTGCACCTAGGAATAGAAAGGTGAAGAAAGTATATTAGCTTTCCACATTTTTTTTCAAAAAGAAAAAAAAAAATGTGAGCTTATCATTTTAAGTAGAAAGCAAACAACATAACAAATTGCAGAGTTCAAAAGGACAAAGGTGCTGGGGTGGAAAGTGTTAGCCATTAATGTGGACTCTTCTACTACATGGTTCCCAATTTATATATATCAGTTAATATCAATTTAATATTCAGAATTGTCCCATCAAAGCTCTATTGGCATACATATTTTTCATATATATATATATATATATATATATTGCAGATAACAACTTTTAAAAAAGTATAACTATTGATGTACACAAAATGAATACAAACTCTTGACGGACCATTCACAAGACTTAGACATCGATCAATCCTCACCACCCAATTTTTATAGCCCCTTCTCAGAGATTCATTATATGTACCGATTAATTTTTAGGTTTAGGTGTTAATTAATATGATAGCTATCAGTATTTCGTATGGGACCAATTTTTAGTATACTTTTTAAAAATGATAATTTAAAAAATTAAATTTAGAAAAAAAAATGTAAAAAGGGAAAATTATAACCACCCCACTTCCATTATTTGCATAAAACAAATTAAGGAATTCACTGTCCACCGTATTTATTTAGACTATATATTAAGATTAAATTAATAAAAAGAAGACAGAAGGAAAAGAGAATGTAATTACCCAGTGCCAGCAAAGAATGCGAGAGGAATCATCATTTCCCATCCATTTATGGTCATACTGCCAACCAAAAAATAATTGACAATCAGATTGTCCTTTTCATCCAGAAAATACAGGAATTTTAATTTTTAAATACTTTTTATTGCACTAAAAAATAATTTAATTTTATATAAACATATGGGGGACTATTATTATTCTCATCCACGCAAAGAAATCATGTATTTAATAAGCGCATGTACTAGTTTCTATAATTTATAATAAATAAAAAAGGAATATTATGCCTTCTATATCGACCACATTTACGTTTTTTTTTTTTAAAGAAAAAAATTTTCAAATAAATGTTTCTTAATTAATCTCTTAAAAAAATTTTGAATGTATAATTAATTTCCTAAAAATAAATTCAATGCATACCATATGGACAAGGCATCCACTGCAATCTCTGCGTTCTTCAGATTCCCTGTCATCAGTATCAGTATTCTGTAATACCAATTCTCCAAGCTTTGTCAACAAATGAGAAAAGTGTTAATTTAATATTAAATTAAAAAAAATAATTAAAGACAATTCTGAAAAAGCAAATCTAAAACAAGATTGAACTGTCGAACACGTGAAGAATTTGAATTACTGCAACAATTAATATATGAAAATAAAAAAGAAAGGGGAAAGAAGAAATGATTAATTATAGCTGTACCAGAGCATGACTCCAGAAGCGGCGGAGAGCTTGGTGAACTCCCAAAGACCAGAAAACGCTTCAATGGAGAAACCAGTCCATGTAAGAGGACAACCACCAAAAATGGTATAACCCAAATGCCCAAAAACAAGAACCCACCATGAAAAATTCAAAGTCATAGCAGTACCCACTACTCCAAGCTTCAGCTGATACACAAACAACCAACTTACTATCACATGCACTATTAAAGCCAGTAATGATATCCATGCAATTATTGCATTCTTTAGCTGGCTTTGTAAGAATCTTTGCAGAGGGAGCTGAAAAGCAAAGCTGAAATGAAGTGGTAACATAGTTAGTGCCGCAATTCCAGAGAGATCTGCGACGTCGTGTGGTTGTCCTAACAGCTTCAATACTGGAGAAGGGAAGAGATATAGAGGTAAAAGAAGAACACAACATATGAACAATACTATCCATGAACGTTGCAAGTATATTCCCAACATGTAGTACTTTTTTGCACCAAATGCTTGCCCACATAATGTTTCTAACGCACTTGCCATCCCCAGCTGCCAAACGAATAAATGACAAATGTTAAGATTAGGAAAAAAATAAGAAGAGAATTTTTTTATATATATAAAGAAAAAACAAAGAAAAGAAAGAGTACCAGGAGACCAAAGTCGAAGCCAACAATGACATTATTAGCAATGGAAATGGCAGCAAGCTCAAGATCACCCAGATGACCTGCAAAAGCTTGAGTAATAACAAGCATGGAGTAAGAGGTAAGCCGGCTAAAGATTGCCGGACCTACTATTTGCCATAATTTCTTTGATTCAATCCAAACTCTTCTTGAAAGCTTCTGATCGTCTTCGTACACTTCTTCGCCTTTCAAACCTCTTATATGATGATCTTCAAGCAGAGGAATTGATTCCTCTGCTGCTCCTTTACCAGACATATTTCTCAACCTTTCTTTTGCTTCTTTCTGTTTTGGGTTAGGCATACACACCCAAAGAAATAAACAAGGAAAGAGAGCAGGGTTTGTTTTGAAGGCTTCAATTAAAACAACAGAGTAGTAACAGTTAATTATTTTTTTTTCTTATCTTATGCAAAATATTAGTCTCTAGTTAAATTTTATTGTGATTAAATAGAGATAGATATCAGAGATTAAAAAAATGATTTACTTAAAAAAAATTAATTATAGATAAGAAAATGAGAAAGATGTTTGGTCACGGCTTCTGGTTATAGAAAACCCATTTGGAGAAGGCAAACCCTTGGCCTGCAAGCACGGAAACAGAAGTGAGGTTCAGGTTTTGGGTCGGTTCGGTTTAGCAACAAAGAAATTGTGTTTAGGTCATTGCACACGACAGCTTACTTTTTGTAGCCACTTGTATTCATGTATTGTATGGCCATACATAGTGACTTTATCCATAAAGTGCAAAATGACAAAACTAGGATTTGTCACTGTTTTGCATTTAGACCAAACACTCAAAATTCTACTTGTATAAATCTATATATGCGCAAATACAAATCGATTCTATCCATAAACCAGAAAAATTACAAAAATAGACTTGTCATTGTTTTGCATTTTGCCCAAATATGTAAATTTACCCATCTAAAACATCCTGTGATATTGACGGAGTATTAACCATACTAGTGTCTAAATTAGATTTTGTACTTGTTACCGCAATTTTTCTTTCAGAGAAAACGACATTTATTAATTAGTAAGATCGAACAATCTAAAAAATACGAATTTTGTAATAGTTTAATTTTTTTAAGAAAATATCAAAATGTATTAATACTACAAAATTAATAGGATTTTCGATCTGATCGATGTTGGGATTTACTTGGAAAAAATAATTTCAGAAGAGGGTATTTTCTTTTACTTTTAGTAAAAAAACAAAAGGAAAATAACAGATATATAAATAGAAGACTGAGAAATATAATTATTAAAACCAACGAAGAACCATATTTATAAAAATGCCTTGTAAATATAATCAGGGAATATTAATGTAATGCACCTCTGCAACGAACAAGGCCATTGTCCTAATTTTTTGGAAATCCTATTGCCGCTACGACGCGTTTAAGAAGCAGAGAAGGGCCATCATTCACCACACACACGCACACACGCACGCGCGCGCGCACACACACAGGTTCCATAATAAAATTCCCCAAACAAATGTTAATTTCTAAAGCCAATTAAAATATGTTATATATTTTTATTTTTAAAGTGAATATATTATTTTATGTTTTATATATATAAGGATTATTAATTAAATATTTTTATAGTATTTAATATTTTTATTATGTTTGAATAAGCATAAATAAAAGGAAAACATAAAAACGTTGATTCAAAAGAAATATTATTACTGATTAAGTAGTTAATAACTGATAATAAAAAAAATTTAAAATAAAATTGATGGAATTAACATCCGATTGACATCTATATCAATTATATCAATCACTGATTAAAATTTTTATTAATTTAATTATTGACTACAAATCAATTATTATCTCCATATAATTAACCAGTTGAACTAAAAGACTTCTTACTCACCGTTGATGTTAAGTTTTCAATTCATTTTCATAATATAGCCACCCAATTTGATTCCTAGTAAAATTATTGTTCTGTGATTTGTGACAAGTTAGGCTGGATTAGATTTCTGTTTGGTATGTTAGGTGGCATTAATGTATTTGGTCCCACCTACAAACATGATGAAAGATGAAATTAATAAGGACTACGATGTTAAATTACACTGTTTAATCCGAAAATGAAATGTTTGGATTGGACCTAAAGCCCCTCTCAAAGCCTTCACTGTTTATGAAATAAAAAGAAGAATGGAAGGCCCATGATGGAGGGTCACGTTAACTGGGCCTTGACCCAATCAATGTTTTTTTTAAAGGAAATCTCAGAATATTAACTTATGCAAGTAATAATGAATGGATTATTGAATGTCGTACTATCAACTTGATCATTATTCTATTATATAGTTTTGCAAATTCAAAATCAATAACTAGCTAATGTTAAATTCTTTCTAGAAACTATATATTAAACACAATCTAAGAATAAATAAAATAAAATAAAAATACATTGATATAATGTATATACCAAATCAATATCAATATTCTAGTTTAATACACTGAAAGTACTAGTGATAAGACTTTTTCTAAAATAAATTAAAAGCAATGGTTTGAGTTTGAGATTTGCTCCTATGCCTGAATTTTCTCAATATAAATTCTTGTTTCTCTCAATACTTGAACCCAAAAAAAAAAAAAAAAATTAAATTAAAAAAAATATTTGGCTTTAGATGGACCGATAATAATACTATATTGATATTCATTATTTAAAAGAAATAAAAAGATACAATACACGTAAATTAAATTTATGAAAATCAAAATCATCCAAATTAAAAATACTAAAAACTTATATATTTCATATACGCATATGACTTTTATTTAGAGTGATCGCAAATTGGAATTAGATTGAAATTGGTTTCTCACAATGTGGAAACAAATAAAGATTGATATTATGGAGGGCTTAATTGTGGTTCCCTCCCCCAAAGTTTTGGGTGGAACCAATTCGGAATTGTTTGCATGTCTGCAGATTTGCTTACTTATGTTCTATGTTCTACAACACAGCAGGAGCGGTGTTTTACAGTGTAAAGATTCTTTTGCCTCCTAATAAAGTGAGTCACTTATTACTCCATTTACGGGATATAAATCATCTATTATCCAGCCAACACCGTATTGGTAATTATATTATTTCTTTAATAGAACTAGGTTTACTGAGTGTAAAATTTTTTTACTCCAATAAATGCACTTTTCTAAAATTAAATATTATTAAAATTGATACCCACTTATCGCTTCAACCACCGCGTTTTTCATATGAACATCACTTGTTTGTTTGTTAAGATACAGAGTACTACAGTAGTAACACTACTATTTGCAAATTTTTGTAGCAACCATAAAATGAAAGCGAAGAAACATAAAAAGAATAACAAACTGTTTTATTTGATTTACACAATGCACATTTCTACAATAATAATCATCCCACTCCCACATCCTCCTTCATAAGATCGTACACGTGTAAGCACTATAGCTCATCATTTTCCCACCCAAATGATCAACACCGTCCCAATATAGAATCAACAATCACAAAAACAAAAATAAATAAAATATCAAATAGGAACAAAAAAATACCACTAAAGTCAACCAACAAATACCAGAAAATAATAGATCTCATAAAAGATCTAAGTTAAGCCGATAATGAAATGAATATAATTTGGAAACCTTAAGCCAAAGCAAAGGCCAAGAAACTTCCAGCAATTACAGTTCCGGCGAGAATAGCTCTATCAACTCTACCGGCAGCAAAGTTGTCACTTGGTGGTGGTTGAGGAGCAGGAGTCTCAGAACCACCAGGTGAAGGGGTGGTGGAAGGAGTCGGTGGAGGAGAGGAAGTAGGGGAAGTTGGTGCCGGAGATGATGGAGAAGGAGATGGAGAGGTTTTCGGGGATGGTTTAGGAGCTGGTGATGATGGAGATGGAGAAGGTGACGGTGTTGGTGCTGATTTTGGTGACGGTGTTGGTGCTGGTTTTGGTGACGGTGTTGGTGCTGATTTTGGTGGTGGAGTTGGTGAAGTTCCTGGTGCTTGGGCCATGCAAGAAGTGGCCAAAAGACCAAAGACTAAAATAAGTTTAAACATAGAAGAAGTCATTTTCTTGTTTGTAGAGATAGCTGTAACTTCAGAGAGAAAATGGAAGAAGAAGAAGAAGAAGAAGAAGAAGAAGAAGAGAGTTTCAGTTTGAGTCTGAGGGGTGAAGAGAGGGAAATGGTTAAGCTATATAAAAAGGAGAGGAGAGAGAAAGTGATGAACAGATAATTAATCAATAATGTTTATTAGTATATTCCTAAAATCATTAAACAATTGGATTAATGATATAATGACTTTTTCTCATTATTATAATATCCATCTATACCTGTAGTAATAAATTTAATGTTAAATTTCCTTCCTTGAACCTTCTCCAAGGATCAGACACAGTAAGGGAGGAGACACCTAACGGGACAAACCGGAACATGACACCTGTTAAGATTGGGGATCTTGTAGTAAATTCATAGCGTAGTAATTTAGGTTCAGTCCCACATTTGACCTTCTTACAGCAATTTATTTACGTTAAGTACCACTCAAATTGAACATGTGTCGGTCACTGAGAGGTTAGTAAGCTGTCTCCATCTAAGTATCAACATTTGACAAATAATAAAAAAATTGGTCACCTTCTCTTCACAGTCTGTCCTCCGCGTTAAACGGTGATATTACCTTAAATGCCCTCTTTCTATATTTTTGACATTTTCCTTTTTTCCGCTTGCGTGTAAAGAATGGAGATAAGATTACCCGTCTACTGATGTAATTATAGACTAAATTAATAAAAATTAAAAATTTTATTAAAATAAGATTATTTTTAATTATTTATAGAGAAAAAAGAATAAAAAGTAATATTTTTTTAAAAAATTTCTATTTTGATTCATTTGATATATAGGTGAATCAATAAATTAAATCTAAATAAGTATTTATTCTACAACATTTTTAAAATAACAAAATACATTGTGTTTAAACCTACTTTGCAATGATTGAGTAATTTGCCATCACATAAAACTAATCTTTCTTTTTCAATTTTAGTAATTAAGCCCACTATTCCTGACCAATAATCATGCTTATATAATTAAAAATTCACTCAAACAAAATCCATTTTCACAAATTTTCTACTTTTGCCAGCTTATGCCAGCTACTATTCACGATTTAAGAAACCAGTAACAAACATTGACTAAATAAGCATAAGAAAGTCTTCCCGATTACCCTCTATCTGGTACAACTACCATAAAATTCCGTGTCACACAAAAACCTATACAATGGCCTTCCTTGAGAGACACGTGTCATCACAAACCTCATATTGCCACATGTCTTTTAAGCAACGAAAGTACATTTTGAAGAATAGGAGGCACAGAAATTAGGAAAACTCTGAATCATCCCGTGTTCAAAGCACGACAAGCAGACATGCACATTTTAATTTAAGATTAGATTATAATTTTGGGACAACATTTGTATTGGTTGAAATGAACATGTTAGTTGTTTCCCATTTGCAACGGTTATAATTATATTTTAGTAATATATTGTTTTTTATCATTTTTTATTTCCCTTTGCCCAATTTTCTACACAAAACGGCTATAACACAGCTCATTATCTAACACAAATTGAGAGGATTACCTCTTCAACATAGACAAACAAGAAGGTCATAATCAAAACATCAAAAGCTAAAATTATTTGACACGTGTCCTGAACTCATATTGACGTGTTCCTCCCGCTATAATAGAGGGTTATAACATTAATAATGGTTAAATCACACAAATGAATTATATTTTCTTATCAATTTTAATATAAATTTAATATTTAAAATTTAAAATTGTCTTTAATAAATAATTTTTATTTGAATATTATCTCGACTTTAACGTGAAAAAAGAAAGAAAGTGAATGAATGTAAACTTTATTTTTTTATTATTACAAGTATTTTCAATATATTTTTGAGTATGAAATGATTTTTATTTTGAAATTTTTATTTTGTTAACTGAATGAACTTTAACCCTATGGAAACTCATCCATTAACAAGCTATCAGGCCCATTAAGGATAACCCTTATAATAGAATATTTTCTCCGTCTTAAAAACATAAATTGTTTTCAGATGATTAATTTTTTCTAATGTATAAATCATTTTGAATATTAGTAAATGATTTTTCGATGGTACTTTTGATTACATTATATATGATAACCTTCTTCATAAATTATTATTGGTTTTGAGATCAAGAGTAGTTTAATTACCCTCAGTTTTATTATAATTTACCCGAATTAGTAATTACTTTTTTAATAACTCGACTTATATTTTGGGATGGAGGAAGTATGAAATACTCTATCGGTTTCATTTTAATAGCAACAAATAGGTATTTTACCTTATTTCATCTTAAGTGAGCATTTAGAGTTTTAAGACAATATTAATTATTTTTTAAAAAATTTTTACCTATATTTATTACTGTGATATGTTTTTATATTTACATTTAACAATGACAGTTTAGATTCATGTAATTTTAGAAAATTAATGAATTTCAATCTTTTTTTATTCCTTATAAAAAGAGTAAATATTGCTATTAAAGTAAAACAGATGGAGTAATCGATTATTAAATGAAGAAGAAACGATAGAACTTGGGGATCAAAGGGTCCCAAAGCATTATACTTTCCCACTAGACTGATAATTATTTACAAACTAGATAACTTTTAATAGACTTTTCTTCTTTTAGCATTAAGAGATTTAAGGGGAAGGGGTTTCAATTTACTTCTATATCCAAATTTTATATATAATTACTGCTAAAGTATATTTACAAAATACATTTATAACCTGATTTTTTATATAAAATAAATACACAATTAGATGTTTTTTTTTTTTTTTTGAAATTGAGAAGTGCAAAATTATTTTTATGATTGAAAAAGTCCTAAATTGAAAGTTTAGTAGAAGTCAAATCATATAAGGCGTATTGTATTTTTAATTTAGAAAAAACTCTCTTGTGTGCAAAGCAACACGAATCTTTTTAATTGGTTTATAAGTTATTCAGTTGGTTATTTTATCATTCTAATTCACGGTTAAAATATTTATTTTTCTCTCCATTAAAAAACTATTAAGTACAAACATTCATATAAAATTTTTCGTGTTTTATAACATTATTTTTTTTTCAATTTGCTAATCATATAGAGTCTGATTTATCTTTTAAATTCATGTTCTCTTAAACAAAAATCAATATTCTCTAAAACATAAAACTCTTTTTGTTCTTTCCTGACGAAATCAACTAACATTGGAACAATTCAGTCTGAATATTCGAAATGACAAGAGCATAGTCAAGACGGTGAGTTGTTTCATATTCCAAATGAAATCAAATTTCCATAAGAAAGAGTCAATGGAGAATAAGAATGAACAAAAAAGATAACAACAAAAGAAAGCAAGATAAGGCAATAAAAATCAAAAATAAAAGGAAGCTTCCTTTCCCTTATTTTCATTGAAACAGTATTTCTTATATTACCTGTTCCAATTGGCATAATTATGCTTACATATGCTTACGTTTTCTTGTTTTAGGATATAAGGCTAGGTTTACTAAGACCAAATAAAACATAATAATATAATTAAAAGAATATTTATTATATTATTATTATAATTTATATTTATATTTATAATTTACCAAACTCTTTGGACAACAATTAACATCTTTGGCTTTGGAAACCAACTGCTGTTTAGACCAAAAGAGACTCATGCATCCCGAATTCTTGAGCTCTGGCATTAGTAGATACACACTGGACTACTGAGCTAGTGTATTAGACTAAAAATAAAGCATTTCCATGAACAAATATGATGATGGTTCATTTATCCTGAGTTAAAATGTCTAACAGAACAAATATGTACCCTTTTTTAGGTCAAAATATGCACATTTTCATCACACAAACCAATTTATAAAAGATACACCACTGCTTGGAGGGCCAACAAAAGGGCATACTTCATAAAGAAAAATCTCTTATTCAGCAAAAAACTAACAGACTTTCTTTCCTTTCTTTCCTTCAAAGAGATACCTTATCCTATTTTATATACAATACAGTGAACATGTGATCCAACTTTGCAAAACGCAGTCGTACAGAAGACAGAAAGGCGTATGCTAGTTGCAACTAGCAACTAACTATGGTTATTATAGAAAAATCTCTATCTTTTAAAAAGCTTGGACCACCAATACACTACAGTAAAACAAACTAGTCCAAAAATGATTAATTGTAAGACATGATTTGATCTCTGCTGGACGATAGTTCTGTTTAACCTCCTCATGCCACTCCTCACTCTTGCTTCAGCATCGGTCACCACCCTTTGCTGTTGGAAAACCAGAAGTACCAACACCGATATCAGCTGTTGGTTTCTTTTCTTCATCGATTTTTATTTCCTTTCTTTTTTCACTTTAGCATTCTTAATCATCTTTATTTAATAAATATTAGCAATTTGGACTTAATTGTCATGATTAAGCTTTAAGTCCTGGGTCAGGTACAAGTCATTTCAGTATGAGATAGAATGAAATTTTGGAAAGACATAAGCCTAGTAGGAAGTAAAATATATGGTTCTATACAAGGCATGGAAAAAAGAGAGGAGAGAGAGAGAGAGAGAGACTTCTAAGCAGGCTTCAAGACTCAAAGGATTCATGTCCCAGGCTAATCTCATAAATAAACTCAGAAACTGATGTTTGTTTTCAAAGAATATAATGGGTAAAGAAAAGAAAAGGAAAGAAAAAGACAGAAGAGGGAAACAAGCTAGGAATTTACCAAATCAGAGATAAGGTCATTTTGAATTCTAGCTTCTGTTTCAATTTCTTGAGCCACCTGCAGGTAAGTGTTCACAGAGTATTGTAACAAAATTATGAATGAATACAAATTTCTCAGATATGTAAATTCAATTTCATTAACTAAAACACTGGAGACTAGAGTTGGCTATTTTAACAGATTGTTCATTATTGTTGCCTTCCAGCAACTCTAAGAAAAAAAAGGGTAATATCAGAAGTCGACGAGTTCTTTAAGAAAGTTTGCATCCAACAACTCCATTCACTTTCTTGAATGGACATTCTAGTCCAAAAGGACTTAGCCAGCAGAAGCAGGACTACAGTAGTCAGACACTTTAAATTAGTAAGAAAATCAAGGTTATAGAAATTGCCAAGTCTGACAACTAGAATTTATACTTGCATCAATATTCTTTTACCCAAGTCCAACTATTTGCTACTTATGAACAGGGTAGCAAGTTTTGACTCCCAAATTTCATCTTCTAGAGATGCAAGTGATATCAAGTTGCTATCATGCACAAACAAAAAATGTGAACTTTTATCTAAGGAAACCATATCAAATGATAAACCAATGAATTGAGATTACATCGACTAGAAAAAGGGATGAAGCCAGTACCTTAGATATTTAATGCTTGGAACTTGGAAGTCATCCAAGAATTGCACAAAAAATAGATTACTCAAATGAAAAAGCACACTAGTTGAAATATATATTAACCGAATTTACTCATTCAAAGAACAAAAACCTAATTTCTGAATTCCACGAGTACCGTGAGAAAGACAACAATAGCACTTACTTTAGGATGGTTTATGAGAGAAGTTGACACAGAGGAATTTAGTTTGTACCCAATTGGGAATGTCAGCACCACAAGTTTAAACCAGGGAGTTACTAGTTTTTCAGCACTAGTAAGATTGCATAACAGATATAAGAAATGGATACCATCGAGTCTGTTAAAACAGAGAGATTTTTGGAAAAACTTCAAAAAACAAGAAAGAAATGTTGCATACAATAGCTAGGAAACAACTTTTAATCTTGAATATGATCAAGGATTATACCAGACAGTCAATGGCAGAAGCATGTCAAAACCATAGAATGGCAGGAGATACCATAAGATGGAGAAGCACTTGTGCAACATTGGGATGATGCAATTTATACAGATTCAAACACTTGAAAGGACTTAAACACTGCCAATGGATTTAATAAGGTTTTGAGACCAATTTTCAGTGTGCCCTGAACTCCATGACAATGAAACTCTTTCTTTACAAAATAAACCAATATGAATCTGTACAGCGGATAGAATATCTATACTTAACGGTTCTGCCCTAAATCCAAGCTAAGAACACCCATAAGCAAGCACGCTAGGAGTTCCACACAAACCTAAATGATTACCAAGTAAAATTGGTAATCAAAACGAAAAACCCATTAAAAATCTTCCACTAAGATTCCCTAAAAGCAACTCAACTACACTAGTCCATAAAAGTTTCAGAAATAAAAATAGAAAATAACATCGCCAATTGCATCAAATTATTATCTACTAATAAAAAAAAAAGAAACGAAAATAACAGGAACTTATTAAAATTATAAAGCATACATTTTTAAGCTGGCTGACTTGTTTGTGAAGACCCAAAATTTCTTCGTCTAGATCCGCATGCACTGGATCGATTCTCACTTGAACCTCATCAGAATTCCCCACTGTTCTCGCACTAAGACCTTCCCTATAGACATACATACCAAAAAAAAAAAAAAAAAAAAGACCCAAAATTTCTTCGTCTAGATCCCGCAGTGCACTGGATCGATTCTCACTTGAACCTCATCAGAATTTCCCCACTTTCCTCGCACTAAGGACCTTCCCTATAGACATTACATTACCAAAAAAAAAAAAAAAAAAAAGAAAAAAAAAAAGAACAAAAAAAAACGAATAAAATAATTAAATCAAATCAAAATTTAGATCTTGCCAAAAGCAAAAAACCATCAAATTTAGAAAAAAAAAAAAAAAAAAAAAAAAAAAAAAAAAAAAAAAAAAACGAATAAATGAATTTAAATCAATCAAAATTTAATCTTGCCAAAAGCAAAAACCATCAAATTTAGAATCAAATTAAACAAAAAGAAAGATTCTTTTATCACCTGGATCTGTAAGGATTTGCCATTAGAGTAAACTGCGAGAAGAAATCAGGTAAATGCTTACCATTGATAAACCCCTTATCTGAATTCGTTTTATCGTTTAAGAATTTATACGTATAGGTTTGATTCTGCGTAGAAGAAAGGTCAATGCTTTGGTTTCATAGGCCTAACGGTGTTTGTAAGACTGTAACTAAATATATAAAACGTACAGCCCAAGCCCCAAAAAGTTAAGGCCCAGGCTCATATGACATGTCGTTTTTGCCTCTGCCGCCTCAACTGTCATGCTCGAACAAGCATATGCCAAGTCGTTTTCTGACATTTTTGTTATGAGAAGGTATGTAGTTGATCTTGCAGTTTTCCAGTAAAATCTTGCACAAGTTATTTTATTGTTGTATATGTTGAAGCTCATAATTTTTTTTTTCTTTACAAATTAAATTTTAAGCACAGTAAATGTGTTGTTGTAAATTTTATAAATTATGAGTTAAATATTAACTAGTAATCAAAGTTAGCTTTTAAGAAGACTTGAATATTATTATTAGTAATACTCAAAAAAAAAAAAAGGAATATTATTATTAGTATTTTTTTTTATTAGAAATTTGAATATTAGTTTGAAAATGGAGGCTTCTTAGTTATTAGCAACTCCATGGAATTGACAATGTTTAGGCTTAGCCTTGTAAAGTCCATGGTGAAATCACTGCCTTTCCATGTAAGATTTCAATCCCACCATTTTGGCCCTTTTATGCCAATCAGTCAACCCAATAGAATATCCATTTCCTCCACCAAACTCCTTCTAAAGGTGAAGCAACACAGCAGCAACAGACAAAAAACCAATAAACTAGCGATGGAATTTGAAATCAATAGAAAACCCAGAATTCTTTGCCTCCATGGATTCAGAACCAGTGGTTCAATTCTACAAAAGCTGATTGGAAGATGGCCTCAAACTGTTCTTGAAAAGCTAGACCTTCATTTTCTTGATGGCCTATTTCCTGCTCGTGGAAAATCTGATGTTGAAGGCTTCTTTGATCCTCCTTACTTTGAATGGTATCAAAGCAGTCAGGTTCGATCTTTAGTGTCATAATCTGTTCTCTCTCTCTTTTTTTATTTTTAATTAGGGAAAAATCACAATAATGTTGGTTTTTTTTTCAGGACTTCAAAGAGTACAGGAATTTTGAAGAATGTGTTGCTTATATTGAAGATTATATGATAAATCATGGTCCTTTTGATGGTTTGCTTGGATTTTCCCAAGTGGGTTTGGCTTAAATTTATTTTTTAATTGTGATTCTCTTGAAACAATTGATTCTATTTATTTTATTTTATACTTTTCTAATTTGGTTAAATAATATTAGGGGGCAATTTCTTTTCTTTTTAATATTTTTCACTATGTTTTTCTTGAAACAATTAATTTTGACGTCCTGTTTTTATGATTTTTATTTTTTTTAGGGAGCAATGTTATCAGCTGCTGTGCCAGGCATGCAATTGCAGGTATGCAAACTGCATTCTTTTATCTTAAATTTATTTGGGATCTGGAAATGTAAAGGAGAGAATTTTATGGCATTGGTTGTTGAAATTGTAGGGTATGGCCTTCACAAGAGTACCAAAGATAAAGTTTCTGATAATAATATCTGGGGCTAAGTTTTTAGGATACAAATTTGGCCAACCTAAGCTTGCTGCTAATGCATTTTCATCTCCTGTTGAGTGCCCTTCTCTCCACATTATAGGTAACTTCAGAAATTTAATTTCTAACACCTTTATTTGAGCATATAGAAAGTCAAGTTTTTGCTGATTATATTACTAATGCAAATCTAGCAGTTTTAGTCTATAGAATAAATAATTAAGAATGTCAAAATCTGTGAAGTTCTTGTCAAAAAGTTTCAAATCAATATTTTGTTTTATAAGGCATCATTTGTGGTTTCACTTTACTTAAATTTGGATGCATGCTATACTCGTCTTCTATTCGTGTTTTTGTGCATTGGTAAACAATTATCTTAAAATTCGTGAACTGGGACAATTTTTGAATTTTTAATTTTATTAGGATTAATCAGTTAGAGAGCGTCTATCATGGAATTTAGTTAAAAATAAAGAACATTTTTCCAGTAAGGTTCTGTGTCAATCTTTTGTTTGTTGATTTATTTGATGCCTAATAGACCACTACATTTGTGTTGTTTAGCTGAGAGAACTAGCCATATTCTATTGAGAGTTCTGCTCCATTTTGTGATTGTGTGTATTATTTATCGTTGATAAAATGATAGGGAGAGGTTGAAGCAGCAAAAGGTTCAACCAAATTGCATCAGTGCAAGAAGCTGCCTCTCGAATTCTAATAGTGCAGTAGTGATTATAAGAAGGTTAGCTAGTAACATGCAAATAATATAATTTGACTATTGAATTTTCTATTTTTGGTTAAATCATCCAAACACGCAAGTGCTTAGCTCTGCCAATAGATGGAAAGCAGTTTTTAGATTTGCAGCATGTCTAACAAGCTTAGCACTAGTGGCATATCATAGTGTCTGGAGGAAAATGTACTTGTCCAAGACATTTATTTTCATGCATCAGAAATTCTTAGAAAGAAAAGGTTGCTGGGAATTGAAACCGGCACGATAAGGCAAGAACCTGACTACTGGGCTAGTAGCTGAGTGGCGCAATTGTCTAAGAAATGATACTGTGATACTCTTAAGTATCTAGCCGTTTTTGAATTTCGGATAATGGCGTATGCAACAGGGGAGATGGATTTCTTGAAGCCAGGAGGAATTGATCTGTTGGAATCATTTGTTGATCCTGTTGTGATTCATCATCCCAAGGGGCACATCATACCAAGACTTGGTTAGTAATGCTTTTGATGATTTTATCTTGCAGGTTTCAGGTTTGCCAGTCTAAAAGAAAAGATATAATTCTGATCCATAATTGCAAACTTTTGCCTGCCTTATTATTTTGTGCACAGATGATAATAACATCAAGATAATGCTTAGCTTCATTGAAAAGATTCAAAAGATGCCATCAGATGAACAATAGAACTGCTTGGATATCTCATTTCCTAAATCTGTTGGAAATGTTATACTACATAGGAATAATAATGAAGGAGATTAATATTATCATATCTATGGACTGAATGATCGACAAAATGGTTATTTTCCCATTAAGATCCCGAAAATTTAGTTGTTGACATTCAGTCCCTTTTGTTTTTGTTAAATTAAGCCCTCATTTAATCAAGGTTTTGACAGTGATAATCATGTATCTTAGACGGATGGTGGATTTGGCTGAGATTTTTCTTATTTGTGTTCAATTAAACACTTGGAACTTTTCTTTTAAATTTGTTGATATTGAACCCTTGAACTTTTATTTTTGTTCAAATTAAGCTCTTATTTTCATGACAAATTTTCATGTCACATTATTGTTGGGTTTTTTTTTTTTTTTTTTTTTTTTTACCCTTGGAACTTTTATTTTTTGTTCAATATTAAGGCTCTGTATTTTCATTTGGACCAAAAATTTTTTTCATGTTTCACATATGTTGGGTTTTTTTTTTTTTTTTTTTTTTTTTTTTTTCTGCTATTAATAACTTGGATTTGTCGTTTACTCTTGGTCAATTAGGGTTTAATCTTTACTAAAATTTTACTATACTTCTATCAACTCATGGCTGGTAGCTATCAACAATTGCTATTAGCTATTAACTGATATGGATAATTAAATATAAAATAGTTTCTTATTCAAAATTATTATCATATTCTTACTATTCGGCAAAACTAATGATTTGTTCCTAAGGTTTAATTCCATTAAACTATTTAATCTTCCTATTTAGAAAATATTAATTTTCCATGAAATATATTATAATTATGTAATATGTAAATATTCTTATTTCTGGTATTTATTATTAAATTGTTATTTAGTCTCTGGCTTAGTTGCGAAAATGACATTTTTTGGATGGAATAATTAAATGAATTAATGAGGTTAAACTTCAAGATGAATGCATAATTTTGTTAAAATGGTAGAATACATAATAGTAATTTCGATCAAAATTTAGGGACTAAATAGTTAATTATCCTTATTCTATAAACTATAATTATAATTAAAAAGTGGTTCATGGTTTGAGAGTTAAAAGAGAAAGAGTGTCTTGATGGAGATGAAATAATAATGTGATGGTATTAGTGGTGGGCTCGGGTTTTAAAAAGAGGATGAGTGGATGATGTGAGGAGAAGAAAATCAATGCAATATCTCAGAATAAAAACATTTTCAGACCTTCAAATTATACTTAATTTTTATTTCTAGAGCAGCATAAAAATAATTAGGGACTAGAAATACATTCATAGCATTAGTAGGAACAACCTAAGTAATTGTTTTAATGAGGATTTTTTTAGCAGCCCCAGAGAGGAACTTCACACATATGTTGATATAATTGAATTGATAACAGTGGAAAAGTTAAACTGAATCAAACAAAGCATGCATTAGAAAACAGTTAGAGCAAGCAACAGTAAACAACTTTAGATGATGCAAAGCCCACCAGTCAAAGTTGTCTCTATCACGACTTGTTCGCGCTAAAAAAAGGCAATCTCTTTGTACGGCCCACCACCGTCTTTACCGGTTAGCCCATCCACAAACACCATTTCAACAAAAAAAGCACTCTCAACAACGAAAACTTTCAAATCCAAACACCATAACCAAAATCAAATTCCTGGTGCATAACCAGAAAATATACTCCTCTACGCGCCACCGTACGTGTCGAATTTTCTAGGAAATGGATCAACAGCCCTTAGAGGAGAACGAGCAGAAGACAGAATCGACGGACCGTGATCCCAAGCCAAATTCGACTCCCGATCCGAAAACCGCAGATAATCATAACGCTGCCCCGAATGGAGAAGTGAATAAGGACAGCGTCGTGACTGGATCGGATTCTGAGACGCAGGCTCAAGGTGATGAGGTACAAACTCCGGGCCGCTCGGGGTCCGCGAGGAAATCGGTTCGATGGAGCCCCGATTTGGTGACCGAATCTCCCGCTTCTCGAAACGGCAATGGCAATAATAACGTTTACTTTGACGGATCCAATCCGTACGTTTCTTCATCTCCTGCTCAATCCTCCTCTTCGTTTTCCTTCAAAGGTAATTTTCATTTGAATAATATGTAAATCAAAGTGCGAAGATTTCTTTCTTTTTTTTTTTAGAGGAATTTTGTTTATTTTTGGAACAGATACGATGGGAAACGTGCGGGAGATGCTAGGTAGATGGGGAAGAAGAGTGGGAGAAGCTACCAAGAAGGCAGAGGATCTCGCTGGAAACACGTGGCAGCACTGTGAGGATTCTTTAATTATAATTTAATGTTAAATTTTGAGTCTGGATTCCAATCGTTCAGTATTATTAGGTTTTAATAGCATAATTACAGAAGTATACATGTTCGATAACACCATTACATGCATTGTGTACAGATTCGGTAAATTGCAATGTTCAGCGATGAGAAATCTTAAACTTCAATTGAAACTTGAATTTGATAAATTTTCTGATTTGGAGTCTGTCATAGTATATTTGAGACAAGTGCGTCAGAAGTAGAAACAACATAATGGTAATGTGTTTTAGCATTTCATCTAAGGAAGGAGAAGATTCAAGAGGAGAATGAAAAAGTTAGTTATAGATACCTAAGGAAAATTGCCTGAGATGGTAATAAAAAAAAAGGGAACATCTTCCTCTCCCTATATTTTGTTTGAAGTTACATGTTCCATTATGATGTTTCGTATGTATAGTAAATCATAACTATATGTTTTATCATTGTTCAAACTGATGACTAAATCCTAGTTACCTAATGAGAATCAAAGAGTTCTCGTGCTATTAGTGGCACTGGAAGGACAATGTTTTTGGTTATGTGAATTAAGATAACCATTGAAATATTACATAGCAAATGGATTGATGTTGAGGACAATTTGCATTCTTTTAGAAATGAAGACCATTTAATGGTTTCTTGTTGGAAAAATTTATGGGTTTCGCATAATGAAGATCATTATACAGGTACTCAAAATGATAACTTTTAGAATTTTAGTTCCACCTTCAAAAAGTTTTCAATCAGTTGACTGTTTAATGACAATGATTTTCCTCATAATGACAACATGTGCAATGTAAGTTCCACCCTTGAACATTTGCAATCAATTGACCGTTTAATGACAATTATTCCCCATTGTTGATTTTAATAATAAACTAGGAAGAAGAATAGGGATTTTTTTTTTCATTTGATGTCAATAAGAGTTATTATCAGTTTCTAGGACAAGCTGCAAGGTAGAAATTGGAGTTTGGAATTTTGTAGTTTTGTGCATCTGAATCGAAAAGCTATTAAAAATTGTCGTCTTTTCTCCATCTTGCATGCACACTTATGACGTATTCATCTTTGTCACGTGCATTTTACCTATTTTAATCAGCTGATATGCGATAACATGTCATGTACATTTTGGTTTTTGGAAACTTCACGAGTGGTAGAGTTACTTTTTACAGTATGGAGCATATGAATGAGATTTTTTTTTTCCTCTTTATTCTATTATTGAGTGACCTGTGTTGCCTTTCTACTCTGAAATTATTAATCATATCCTTTCTTTTGATTCAAATCAGTGAAAACAGCCCCTAGCTTTACAGATGCTGCGCTGGGAAGAATTGCCCAGGGAACAAAGGTCCTTGCAGAAGGTGGATATGAGAAGATCTTTCGACAGACATTTGAAACAGTTCCTGAGGAGCAACTCCAAAATTCATATGCATGTTACTTATCGACATCAGCTGGTCCAGTCATGGGGATGTTATATGTATCTACAGCAAAACTTGCATTTTGTAGTGACAATCCCCTTTCATATAAATCTGGTAGCCAAACTGAATGGAGCTATTATAAGGTATGTCCTCATTGGCTATATGTAGGGGATTTACATTATTCAAGCCAATCCCTGAGGCTTTTCTTGGAATTCTCCATAACCTCATTAATAACAGTCTGCATTTAGTTTGACTTGGTTTTAGGAGGAAGTTCTCATGGAACCTGGGAGCAATTTTTATTTTTTCTTTTATTTTTAATGTTCACATATGGAAGCCGCCTAATGTGTACCCAAAATTATAATCCATGGCTTTTGTCATAGAATCTAGTTTTGGTTTTTGAGCGGACAGCTAAAACAGACACACAAAGATCTTTCTATCTATCTTGCTGAATTAGCGGTTTCATGTTGGTGTTTGAAGCATGATAAAGTGAAGGAAAGTATGGGTAGCCCATAATTAAAGGAAGATGCTTTGAATACGTGTTAGCCTTTTGTTTGATGAAATGAAATACCTACTGGATTCTTTGAGAACTGTGCCTTAAGAGCTTAATCAAGATATCCACACTGCTTTTTATTGTCTCTTTTGTACAAGATTGAGATCTTACGATGTTTGAATGCCAAGAAAGTGGAGTTGGAGAGAGAGTAGAATATCTAATTTTCCCTGATAGGAAGGAGCAGGAGAGGTGGAAGAGGAGGGAAAGTTTCTTAATTAGATTAGCCATGTTAATTTGTGAGCACTGGTAAAGCTTTAGTGACTTTTACTTGACAATTACACAAATAGGATTTCATGACAAGTTCCGTGATTTTTTATGATGCTTTTCTTGTTGCTCTTCTTATTATTGAAGGCTTTAGTTTCTACAAGTTAGGTTATAGTACCAAAAGTTGGTCTTTTATTAGGCTATGCTCTACTGAAATAGTGAATAACTATAGAACAATAACACTCTAATCTTGAATATATATATATATATATCTCAAACACTTTCTCAACATGACAATATTCGATTTTGAGTACCAACACTCATATCATGTGTTATTTTTTGTAAAATTACCCATGACCTAAGTATCTGAGTTGTATCAATGTCATGTCCTATGTCCATGTTTCAAAGGTTAATAACTATTGTCCTGATTCTTGTTTATTGGGTTCTTCTTTTCAATAGTCTTTTTTTTTTTTTTTTTTTTTTTTTTTTTTTTTTTGGAGGAAAACCATCGTATCATGGACCCTTAATACCACGGGATCCGACTATTTTTTTTTTTTTTTTTTTTTTTGGTGGAAACCATCGGTATCTGGACCCTAATACCAGGGACCGACTAAATCCGGCTAAGGGCTTAGTCACAGTTAAGGCTCTTCGCTCCTCCCTACAGGTGTGTTTAGTGGGATTGAACCCGAGAGTTTTTCTCACATGTCCAACTTGCGTTGTCAATTGAGTCACAACCCATAGGTTCAATAGTCCTTTTTATAAGGTGTTCATGTTGTTATCTTTACTATCTTGCACTTGACACACCACACCAACGTGGTTGAACTTTGTTAATAATGTGAATACTTTGGCATCGACGATAAGAATATCCTGGAAAAATAAGATAAAGCCATAAAGGACTCAAGAAACTTAGAATTATGGTCTAGATTTAATATAGGGTTTGTTTAGTATATTACATAGTATCTCCAAGTTATCTACAAGGCTTATTTATGTCCATTGAAATAATTAGCTATCAGTTTGGGTCTCTTTGTAATTTGTAACTTTGTTGGATAAGGATGGCTTGATGTTTTTACGTCTTAATATTTGGTTATTGTTGATTTATGTTAGTACAACCATTTTTTTTTTTTTTTAACAAATGGAATAGGATTAGTTTTGAGATTTCTAATATTTTTCAAAGGTTTAGGATTAGGTAGTCTTTAGATACTTATGCTTGTAATACTTTTTCAGTTTTCAGTCAATAATGGTTTGTTGCAATCTTTCGTCTTGAATTGTGTAAGAAATTCCAAGTATGGAGTTTGGAATCTTTGGTCATGTCCTACATAGATCTTCATGTGCAATTGCAATTCACAAGTGCAATACTTTGATGGTAGATGGTGTCAAAAGGGGAAGAAAATTGATTTCTATTGGTTCATTATAGATCCTAAACAAACTACTATGCTACTTGAAGCTTTTTCTTTAAGGATGCTACAAATACACTTCAAAGCATGAGTTAACTAGTCCTACAAGTATTTGATTCCTTTAAGAGAACAACTACTAAAAATAAAGGTGTGTGGTTGATTGAAGAAATGCAAAAGAAAAGCATTCAATCAACTCTACTTGCAATAGCAGCTTTGAATGGTAGGATGGCCAAGGTCAAGGAAAGCAGATGGGACAGATCAGTTTGACTTCATTGTTGCCTATGCTAAAGATGCTGGCTTTAATTAGAATTCAAGAAATGGATTTTTTTGTTCAAAGTTCATTCATAAACAAGTCTGAAAGAAGCTTTCTGAGTGTTTTTCATTACTATCTCCAACTAAGATTGTCAATTGTCATGATTCCCAATGCTAAGGATGTATCTTGAGATATTAAGAACCTTTTAGGAAGGTGTAATTAAAATTCAAGGTTGAGTTTTCTCCATAGGATAATGGGGGACGCAGTCAGAACCTCCTGGAAATTCATATGGACTTAAGAAGCTTAGAGTCATGGTCCATATTTAATAGAGGATATGACATACGAAGGATATTCTACAATGCACATTATCTCCTAGTGCTTAATGAGCTTATTCATATGACTATTCAAATAAATTTGCTGCTGGTCCAATATTTTGAAGTGTTAGGATAACTTTTTTTTTTTTTTGTAGTTTCCAGCTTCACTGGATAGGCTAGCTGGATGCTAGGCGTCTTATTTTATAGTTAAACTTCTTGTTGATTTACAATACAGTTAGTCTTTTTAGTTTTATTCTGTAGTCCAAATATTACATCAGTTTTTCTATTGTGCATTTTGAGCATGTAATATTCCTTTTAGCCCTATCTTCGAGTTAAGTAATCCTGTCTTGTTTGAGCTCCATAAGAGTTGCTCCATCAGCAGTAGTAGTTGTAGTAACATCAATGCTAAACAAGAAGGGTAATAAAAGTGGAACAGTTTCTTTGTCCGTCAAGCTTGATAAATTTTAGTGTTGGCATTGACAATTTTGCAAAGTCAAGAAATAAGGTTTGCCATTTTGGTGGGTCTAGTGAGTGAAGAATATGTTATAAACATGTTGGATCTATTGTTCGATAAAAGTTTGCTTGTGAATTTTTTCAGAGTCAAAATGACTTGATTTAAGCAAAATATGATCCTAAGTGAAATTCTCTATTATCAGTGGACTTGTTTATATTTTACTTCATATTGTTGTCTTATGATTGTACAGCTCAAGGATTTCAGTTCTTAAGTTCACTCCAGCTAAATGTTGTGTGTTCACCATACATTTAAGGTATCTTTTGGAGTAAAATAACTTTTTGGACAATCTAGCTCCTTGATTTTTATAGTGGTACTGATGCTATGTCAATTCTACTAGTTTGGAGGATCTTTTAATTATTGTACAAAATTTGTGTGTATTGTTGAACTATCTTGAATTGGATTAATTGACATGTGCTTATAGATATATAACATCCTGACCCTTGGAGATTGTTATATCTGTTCTGATCTTTGGTAAGATTTGTCTCCTGTTTGTGCCATCCATCAGCATGAGTTTACCTTGACCTTGTTGTTAGTTATTTCTCGATAATGATGTGTCGTTGCATCGATATCTCATCCTTTTGTAACATTTCTGTTGTTATATTATGTCTTCCTGTTCATCTTCCATGAATTTCTGAATCAGATTTTGACTCTTCTTTTGGCTAAAATAGGTGGTCATCCCATTACATCAACTTAAAGCCGTTAATCCTTCATCAAGCAGAGCAAATTCTTCAGAGAAGTACATCCAGATTATTTCTGTTGATAATCATGAATTTTGGTTTATGGGATTCTTAAATTACGATGGCGCCGTGAAATGTTTACAGGATGGTTTGCAAGCCCATACTCTACAGTCTGTGTGATGCTTGTCCTTTTGAGTAAAACTTTTTCCGCCCTTTGTTCTTCAAATCTTATAGCCAGAAGTTCACACGCCTTATTGTCCAGAAGGGTTTAATGTGATAACAGTACATTTTGCTTATTAGACAATTGTAGAGATAATGGAGACATTTTTGGAAGACTGTTAGAAAAAATTTATATTTCTTTTTTCAGTCCACATGACGTCGTCTTGTGATTTTGCACGGTACAACTCACTGGATTTGGAAAATGTTAAGAGAGCTTTTTTATATTAGCTTGAGGTTAAGCTTTAATTTAGGCTGGAGTTTACGTTTAAGAGTAAGAGTTCAAGTTCGAGCTCCATCATACCTAATCAATAATTTTTCTTTCTTATTACTATTTTTAATAGTTATTTTATTATTTAGAAATATTACGAGAAATTAGAAACACTAAATTAGAACACTATTAGAATTATTTGTTATAATATTTGTTAATATTAAAATTTTTATGATATTTATTAGGTACTGTACCTATTACCAGTTGTAATATTATTATTAGGTGTAATTATAATATTACTTAGTATAACCAGTATTACGCTAACAGATGTATTTCTTTGAATAATATTCACAATTCAAATAAATTGTGATTAGAATAACTAGAAATTTATAATAATATCAAAATATTAGTGATAATTATAATACTTTTACAATACTAATTAATTAAAATTATAATAGCATATATTGTAATTAAGAAGACAAAAATGTTTTATTATAATATATAATGACATAATTAATTAAAATTATAATAGCATATATTGTAATTAAGAAGACAAAAATGTTTTATTATAATATATAATGACATAATTAATTAAAATTATAATAGCATATATTGTAATTAAGAAGACAAAAATGTTTTATTATAATATATAATGACATAATTAATTAAAATTATAATAGCATATATTATTAATCTCACGTGTTATAATACTACCTTTATGGTATTATCTTAGGGGTACTAGTTTTTAAATTATAATACTAATAATTATTATTAATATAAGATAAATATTGTATATAATGATTTTATTTATGATTATGTGAATGTGATATGAATGAGAGTATGGATACAGCACTGTATAGTTTTGGCATTTTCGATTTTAAAAAATTATATAATTATAGATTTATAATTTCATTTCATTTTGTAACTATTAACCAAAAATTATATCATAATTTAAAAATATAATTATTAATAAAATTAATACATTTATAATAAAACAAAATAAATATAAATGAATATATATATGAGCTCGATCACAAGTTTATTAAACAAACTAGCTTATGAGATGAATCAATGGGCCGGTTTAAAAGCTTAACAACGAGCATGTTCATGAGTTTCACAAATGAGACAATTATGCTCAAGCTTCTCAAACTTGGTTTGTCTTTTCAAATTGGTTCATTTATTAAATGAGTCTAAAATTTTATTTAAGCTTGGTTTGATTAGAAACCAAATTCAAACAGAGTCGAGTTTTTACGGAATCGAGTCTAGAAAGTCTGCGTGATTCACTGACTATCGAATGGGCCGGCCTACACCATAAGCTGAAGTCCTAAAGTGATTTGCAAAGCTTGGGCTTAATACTCGCAAGTCTGGAGTCTTAAATTTGCTTGGGCACTCTTGATTTATCTGGGCTGTGATTGGTCTGGCCTACGGGATGCTCAGCCCATATCTCCTACTACTACTACAGGATACAGATTTGCTTAGCCTGCTCTTCCTCCCCAGTTCCCATGCATGCAAAGGAATGCAATAATTTTGGGACTAAAATGATTTTGAATGGAAAATTGTTACTGCTTGACTGGTTCAAAATTTGCTGTACTACAAATAGCACAGCTGTTTTGTCTTAGTTCTTTAGAAAAACCATCATATTTATTTAAGTTTTTCTTAATTACTTCTTCTCAGGTCATCTTGGATATTCTCTTGATAAAGATAAAGAATGCTTTTCCCTTTTTTTTTTTTTTTTTTTTTTTTTTTTTTGGGTATAGCGAAAGAAAACAGACTAGGAGGGTAAAATGAATATAAAAGGAATTAATTTTTTTTTTTTTTTTTTTTTTTTGGGTAAGCGAAAGAAACAGACTAGAGGGTAAAATGATGATAAAAGGAATTAATTATTTTTCTCTGGTGCCGCAAGAAAGAAAAGGTACCTCCTCCATATATGTCTTTATCTTTGCACTGATCATGTTTCTGTCCTTGAATCCTTGGCATATATATATAAAATGCCTTGGATTCTACGATATGCTCGAGTTTTAGTATACTTAGTCTAACGGAGATTAACAGGAAGCCAGTCATTATCTTCTTAGGGCATCGAAAGTGAGTGCGGGGTCTTTTTTACTGCCATAAATAGCATAAAATGAACACTTACAGTAAACATCATTTTGTTACTGAAGGGTTGCTTTCTTCCTCTATAATGATTATTACTTCCACTAAGTCTCTCTCTCTCTCTCTAGACATTGGGAGTATGATCTGTTACCCAGTATACTCAGTTTGTTAAGAATGATTAACTTCTTCCTAGCCTAGCTAAAAGACTATTACCAATTTCTCTCTTTATTATTTTCTTTGTTGCTCAGTCGTTTTCCTTATGAAAATGACTTCACTGTTCCTTAATAATTTTCTTTTTCTTTCTCTTTTCATTTTTTGCAGGTTGTAACGTTCCATTCCTTTTTATTGAATTGTGTTCATTTCATCTTCAGATGCGCACATTTAGCTCATATTTGGTAGACCATTATAATGGAAATGTGGAATTTTACTCTTCATTCTTGCATTTATTTTATTATTATGTTTAATTGTGATCTATACGACTATTCTCTAAATTAACTTCTTAATTATCCTTTGTATGCTTAAAGCATTTCGGCTACATTTGGTACATGAAATGGAATGAAGTAGCGAATGGAACCATTCTATTTTACGTAGGTGAAAATGGACATATTTTAGTAAGGTTGGATTATTTCAGTTTAGTTAGATTAAGTTTAAACCAAATAATTTCAATTGTTTTCTAAGTAAATAAATATTGAAAATGCAATTAATACAATGAAATACTTATAAATAAAATACATGAATTGTTATGATTAGTTTTTAATTATTGTCAATCCCCATATTTTAATTATGCCATATTGGTCAAAGTTCCTTTTACACTACTATTCTTCCAACTTACGTGAAACTATTTATTCATGTCCTAAAAGTCTAAAACTCCTAATTTTTCTAACTCTTCTTTGCATTAACTTTCTAAAAAATGAATTTAAAAAATTATACTTCTTCTGTTTCGTTTTGTTTACATGGTTTGACAAAACACGCATGTTAAGAATTTAGTTAACAAAAGTTATTTAGCCCTTTTTTATCCTTCACTCATAAAGTTATTAATAAAAGATTTTCATTTAATGGAGGATCATAAAGATTATAATGAAAAAAATAATTGTTTATGTATACAAATTTAGAAATTTTGTAAACATTTAAAAAAGAAATAATAAGTAAATAAAATGAGATGGAGGGAGTATCATTTAACACGATTAACAACACAAAAAAAAATTGATAAATAATTTCAAATGGCTTCTGCTTATAATTGTTGAGTCGTGATCAGCTCTTCGGAATAATACCTCATCTTATTAGATTGAGATGAGTGTGAATGACCTTCTAAAAATTATGAGGCTCTCTTAACTATTATGATTAGGGTAGTATTATAAATTCTTTCAATTTAGAGGGTAATGCTATTGGAGATAAGATCATATAGACTAAGGGAAGAATGGAAAAATGGGTTGGAGTTCCCTAGTCAACATTTTGGAGACTAGAGAAATGGAAGAAATTAGATGTTAAAAGAATGGTGTTCTCAAATGAGTTTTATATAGGTAATACTACATGTGTGTTACCTTGAAATGCTCCTCCTCTAGAACTAATTAATTAATATGATGAGTGAATTCTATTAAATCAAATTATACTTGTACTTTTAAGATGTATTATCCACTTTTGTCATTACATCTTACTATAATCTTCTCTCTTTATTTTGAGAAAACAAACTCTAGAGAAAAGGAATGTAACTCTTAACCTCCTTCACTCATTATCTTCATGGGATTTGTGCATTCATCACTTTTAATGAATCATCATTATCCTCTCTCCAAAATGCATCGATAAAACTAATTCATGAAAGTCGTTTGTTATACTAAAGAGGTACTTCACCTGAAATAACTTGGTCTAATAGTTGAAATGCATTAAATTTCATTTAGTGATCACAGAATCGAGTTGTGTAGTCGGTATTTTTCGGAGGGCTTTAAATATAATCACTCCCCATCACGAAAGAGATTAGTCGAGAAAAAAGTACTTCAATTTCAATGTACATTTGTATGATGTCACTATGCCCTAAGATGTGTTACCTTACATGTATAGTTTCCTTTCCTTTATGTAGGCCGGTGGATGTGGCCCAACATTATAAACTAATTCATCGTAAATGAACTAAAGCAAGTAGAATCATCTTTCTTGGATCATGGCCTAAGTGGACCATCTCTACACGGCCTTACATTAAATATTAAGCCCATGCAAACATCTAATTTTAAAAAATAAATATAAAATCTCAAGTGGACCATTGATTTAAAAACTTTCGGCATCTAATTAACCCCATTAAGATTCTTCTAATTATGAGCCTATAACAATGTCAAAATCAAAGTATCCTTAAACTATTTACAAAGCATGTTTTAGCTTAGTAGATTAATAATAAAACAAAGGAAATCTTGAATTGCACGCGCAAATGTCGTGTCTTGAAAGATTTTAACAATATGCCAATTTGATAAGTGTTGGCTTAAGATTTTCATTACAACAATTCTAAAGTGAAGTATTAAAGCAAAACATAATTATGTTTTAGATGACATATAAAGCTAGACATCTTGTTCGTACCCCATGTTTTGCCCAAACAAACTAATTAATGGGAACCAGCTCAATTTTCATTTTAGAACAAAACCCATTAGAGAAAAGTTGATTAGTTATGGTTTCAAGAATTTCATTAACACATCCTATAGCAAATTGTCTCTTAGATTAGGGTTAGGGTTTGGAGGTTGTAGCTATGATTGGTTACAATTGAGTAGTGATTGTTAGAATGATGACACTTTCTCTTGCTACTACTGAAATGACTGAGTCCAATAAAATATATGTGTGTGCGTGTAATCAATGACTAATTGTTCACTAAACCAATGTGTTGTCTACAAATTTCTAATTTATTATGCTTCTCAAAAATAAAAAGATTATCATAATAATTAAATAAATGTATCAATTTGGACCCTTAAGAAACT